GGGAGGCATCCTCTATAAGAACTGGGCATACATGTCGGGGACCGGAGTTTCGTTCAAGACTCACATCCACAAGGCTTGATTGCCACTCAGCCGCCACTACGAAACAATGGCTTCTGATGGACGAAAGCGGCACACTTGGGGATGGCCTCGACGCTGGGGAGACGGGGAATGCTTTCAGCTCTTGTCGCTAACATCTGGGCGACCGGACTTGTGGATTATGCATCCAGCCCATTTGCTTTGGTGAGAGCGCCACGGGGCTTACTGCTCACATCACCATGTGCGGCTATCCGGCTTCTTTCAAAGCGATGGATAATAGGTGAACGATAGCGCTTGATGTCTCTCGCTTATGAGATGAAGAAGAGCAACGGTGGCAGTGGGTGGTAGGCTGCTTGCGTGTGTCCACTGTGCCGAATCTACAATGCGCATTGCTGAAAGTTTCTTCTTCCAAGCGCTATCACGTCAACAAATGTGATGACTGAAGATCTTCGATGGTCATTATTAGGCTGGCCGAATCACCCAACGCGAGCCGCATCGTCAGCCCGTTTCTTGGGATCTTGATGGCTCTCCAGCCGGTGGGATCCTTCACTGCATTGGGGCCGTTTACAGTCGTGAGATGCTCACACGCTGCACCGCAATAGGCCTGGGGCGGACGCCGGTCTTCTTTGGCAGTAGAGATGGTGCTAACCAAGATCAGACTTTAGAGAGCCAGGTTTCTGCGGGGAGTCGGGAAACAGGGCAGAATGAAAGGACGGGCTCGCATATTGCATGCCCAGCGAAACTCAGCTGGGTGGGCAGCTGAGCAGAATGAACAAAAGATTTGCTCAGGGGTGGTCTGATTCATGTCTCTGCAGGCTCCTATGACCCCTCGCTTATTGAAGTTCTGAACAATGCGAAGCGCAGGTTTGCGAGACTTGAGCGGTTCATCCAACATATCATCGATCGTACCTTGCGGATAGACACATGGGAGATGTATGAAGCATAGAAATAAGGCTAATTGAGAGCTTTGACACAACCCCGCGGGACGCGTATAAGGTCATCCCCGGACGACTAGTCTAGCCATGAAGATATCTGCCCATGTTTCCCATTCAGAACCTGGACCGATGTCTCCCTCCAAGGCTGAGCTATCCCCCGCATAACCACGACCGTCCGTCTGCCCTCGTGCTCGGCGCTCCGAAGTGCATCGGATAGCTTTCCCGATTCAAGACATCCTACAGCGCAATCTCATTTGAAGCAGCCCCCGCAACAGTCATGCCAAGTTCGCGCCCGCCGTGACTGCAACGCTGGCCCCCTGGCGTCTTCCTCACCTTAATCGGCCTCCCGGTCGTGTTCCCACATGACCAGCATCATTCTCAGATTCTCTCCCGTGCGCTTTCCAGGGGGCAGCCTCCACGTCCTTCCCTAATCGTTCTTTCGGCCGACGATGGTAGGCTGAGAAACCATCAGGAGGGCGATTCTGGGACCGTAGGTGGGAAGGTTGCCATACATAGCATCACCTACATTGATCACCGTCACATAGGAAAGAAGCAGGTCACATCCGAGATGGGGAGGGGACATGACGGGCAGCGACATGTCTAATCAAAAGCAAGGGGCGTTGCGACTTTTCCCATGTCGCGATCAGGCGCATCGCGTCGAGGAGGACATGTGAGGTTTCTTTGAATAAGTTCTTAAGGGGAATGGGCGCCTCCCGGCAGACACTGACTTTCTGACGACGGGCGTCCCTGTTTGAGTTGCTTGGTGCTGCGACCTATTCAAGAACCAGTTCGAAAGCCTCCAGTCCCATCCAAGATGCGTTGCTGTCTCCATTTCACAAACGTGGTGCTCGGCTACATCGTGGCCACGGCCTCTGCTGTGTGAGTTTGACCTACCCTGAACCTTAAGAAGCGAAGTACGCAACGGGCGAGCATGGTTGGCTGACGCGGATACAGCATTGATAGCCCGAGCCAGCACTTCGTCCCACGGCAATCTACCGACATCCTCGCGTCTTATGAGTACGTCGTTGTCGGTTCCGGGCCGGGTGGTGGCCCACTTGCCGCACGGCTCGCCATCGCCGGGAAGAAGGTCCTGCTCATCGACGCCGGCGACGACCAGGGAGACTCCATCCCGTACAAGGTACCTGCGTTGAACCTTCAGTCGACAGAGTACGGCCCAATGAAATGGGACTACTACGTCCAGCACTTTGCCGATCTCGAGGCCCAGAAGAAGGACTCCAAGATGACATACCGACTTGCGAACGGGGAGCTCTACGTCGGACTCAACCCGCCGGCTGGCGCTGAGCCGCTCGGTATCCTGTATCCTAGAGCTGGCACGCTGGGTGGTTGCGGCAGTCACAACGCGTTGATCACGGTCTACCCGCACGAGTCAGACTGGGATGGTATCGCGACGTTGACAGGAGACACCACCTGGGGCGCGTCCAACATGCGCAAGTACTTCCAGCGTCTAGAGAACGCTGAGTATTTGCCCAATGGCATCGTAGGGCACGGATTCGATGGCTGGCTCACCACCTCTGTGACGGACCTGGGACTAGTCATCAAGGATATCAAGCTGCTTACAGTCATTCTGTCAGCCGCCTCCACCATGGGCAAGAGTCTCCTTGGCTTGATCTTCTCGACGATCCAGGGTCTCGGCGAGGTTCTCCTCCGTGATCTCAACGTCGACCTTCCTAGCCGTGACTCCGCCGAGGGTCTTTACCAGGTCCCCATCTCCGTGGACAACGGCGTCCGTAATGGACCGCGCGAGTTCGTCATGGACACGGCCAACGCGAAGAACGCGGATGGTTCTAGAAAGTACCACCTCGACATCAAGCTCACCACCCTCGTGACCAAGGTGCGCTTCGACCAGAGCGGCGCGAAGCCTCGGGCCGTGGGGGTAGACTTTGTCACGGGACAGAGCCTCTACCGCGCCGACCCCCGATCCGGCGACGCCCCCGAGGGCGTCGCCGGATCCGTAAACGCCACGGCCGAAGTCATCGTGTCAGCCGGCGCTTTCAATACCCCGCAGCTGCTCAAGCTCAGTGGCGTTGGCCCCAAGGAGGAGCTATCCTCTTTCGGAATACCTTCCATCGTCGATCTTCCTGGTGTCGGCACCAACCTGCAAGACCGTGAGTGTTCTCATTTGCTGCCGACGAATTGATAATCCATGTAGAGAGCCGTTTTACTGATCATCGTCACTGCGGGCTACGAAACGTCCGTTATTGGCGAGACGCCGACAGATTTTCAGATCATCGAAGGCTGCACCTTTATTCGTCCCGGTACAGACGATCCCTGCTTGACGAAGTGGCAGGAGGGCGCCAAGAATGGGCAGCGGGGGATTTATGGTTCCAACGGCATCAGCTTGGGTATCGTCAAGAAATCGACAGTGGCAGAGGGAGACCCGGACCTCTTTATTGCAGGAGCACCAGTCGCCTTCCCTGGCTACTATCCCGGATACTCCGTCGATGGCACCGCGGACCAGAGACACTGGACGTGGATCACCCTCAAAGCCCACAGCCGCAACCGGGCCGGAACCGTCAAGCTGCGTTCAGCCGACCCGCGGGATATGCCGCAGATTGACTTCAACTCGTTCCAGGACGAGGAAACGGGCGCTAAGGACATCCAGGCCGTGGTGGAGGGCATGAAGCTCTCGCGCAAGATGTTCGAGAGCGTCGTGCCTCTCACGGGAGGCTTCACCGAGGTCTGGCCCGGGAAGAATGTCACCGATGCGGACTTGCCCGAGTTCGTCAGGAATGAAGCCTGGGGCCACCATGCCAGCTGTACGTGCCCCATTGGCAAAGACGGCGATGCCACCGCCGTCTTGGATTCAAAGTTCAACGTGAGAGGGACCGAGGGTCTGCGGGTGGTGGACGCGAGCGTGTTCCCCAAGATTCCTGGGTATTACATCGCGTCGGCGGTGTACATGATTAGCGAGAAGGCGGCGGATGTAATTCTTGGGGTATAGATACCTTCATGCTCTGTTTTCTTCTTCTATTGTATCGTTACACATGGCGGGCGAAAAATGCGCGCCGTGGGATTTTGAGGTGTGACCACGAAGGGTCTATTCGACGTTTCCGTACATATTCTAGGTACCTACTGCATACTTGACGTTGTTAACATTCCATGAGTCTACCACACTACTGCCTCGGATTGAGTGCGATCTGCTGGCTCTGCGACGTTGGGGAAGGCAACGCTGGCTAAAATGCCGTGGCTGGGCTGGGCAGGGGACCGAAGGATGGGCGAGGATGGGATGAGGCGGCGAAAGCAAGCCGCAACACCTGTACTCTGTGACCCTGTACAGTCCAAGTCATTCCAGATGATAGACCCTTGGGGAAAAGTCAATGCAAAAAGGTTGCTGCCGTGGGACTGAGACCGCGAGGCGTCTCCCGAAGGCGCCCGTCTCAGTCCTTATATCACACGAGCTGATCAGTGGATCTTTGGGAATCCATCACTGCCTTATGCGAGAGAAACGCTGTTCTTAGGCTCGGCACAAGAACGGGTGTAGAACATGGAAGAGCTCGAACAACAAAGATCTCATTATCCTTTCTCTCGTGGAGAGAGGTGGTGAGGAGAGCGTGGAGCGTTGCCGGGAGGTGATATTCCGCAGTGAATTAGCAGTTTGACCGTCCTCCAGGAGGATCGAGATTTATTCAATGCGCATCTCCCGAGCGATAGCCTACTGGAGTACGGGGATAAGCCATGGAGAGGCACAAAGCCGAGTTTCGTAGTGCTACGCCATGAGAGGCGACCTGTGGCACAAGGCCAAGGAAATCTTTCAGATGGCAGAGGCAAGAAAAAGGAGCAGGGGCCATTCCACGTGGCTATTCGATAGAAGATGGCAGCCCAACCCAGGCTTAGTAACGGCAGCGAGATTGCAATGTTCAGCCGTCTGTATAGTCTGCCAGAAAACCCCCCGAGCGCGAACATGTTGCATGCGTTGGTGTGCTTGCGGGTAACCGTGCCGGCATGGTTTGGGGTGGGAACATGTCGGCAGTGGTGATTAGGACAAACGCCAGAGGAAAAGCCTCGCAAATTGGCAAGTTAATCTACGAGATATTCTACCTTCCATTACACTGTACAGACAGTAGGGAGTAAGTAGGGAGCAGCGGCAAACAGACACACATGTAAAGCTGCGTTGGGATAAGCCCGGACGCTTGCGAGCGACACCACACCCTTTTCCCTCTTCCCTCTGGACTCGTAGAGTCTGTGAGTACGGATACGTCTTGCTTGCGCCGCATGGATGGAAGCAACCATGAGCAAACCGAGGTAGCTGTTGGTTTGTGGACGCGTAGACCCGGCCCGGCCGAAGTCTAATACCGCCGCTATTTGATCTGGCAAAGTGACAGTTGGCCTAGTTGGCCAGTCGGAGCGATGGGCACAGAGACTCAGAGTAGACCGGACGGGCGGGGACCACGGGGGGCGAGCCTCGAGGAGATCTCGACGTGATTTTGGCTTCTTTTGGCGTTGGCGTCGAAAATCCGTTGGTGTGGTACCCTGACCAGAAAACCGAGTCGCCGATAGAGACCCAAGGAGGCGTTCGGGAAATCCTCCTAGGACGCAAACGAGGCTTTTCTGTGGCTTTTGCGCCCGCCTTGCTTTGCCTTTGACCTTAGCTCTTCTTGTCATCTTGGGGGTGACTTTGCATCATGGTCGCACCTAAACTCGGGTGCCATTCACCCTCCTCCTTTTGACCTCGTTCCTCGAAAGCTGGGCCGAGTCCCCCCACTGCAGCTCTCCAATCTTGTGGAAATGCAATTGCAAATGCGATTTAGACGTACCTAGCTGTTTGGCTGCTTGAGGAGTCCCGGCACACGACTTGGAGAGCTCCGGTCCATCCATGCATCCACCACCACCACCACCCATCAGCTCCCCCATTACGAACCCGAACCCTCAGCTCATTATTAGTCTCCAAGACGTAAGTATCCGTACGGCGTCCGTACGGGTGTTTTTTTCTAGATGAACCTTCGCTTTAGCATCTGCCCTAGCCAACAAGTCCGAAATGAGGACACGACGCGGACCTGGCCTGGCCAAGGTGTGTGGTGGAGAATAGTCTTACCGGTTACCCATTCTCTGGCGAACAGTGGCACAGCAGATTGAGAAGTCTTGACGACACGAGCGTCTGTGCAAGGAACAACGATGTCTTGGGGCTCATGTCTTGGAAGTTAGGCAGCCGGCATCCCCTCCCATCCCCCTCCCGCTCGCGGCGTTCGCCCTTCCTGATAGTAAACACATAGTAAACCACTACCACACACCATCACGACGACAACCACCACGGATACCAAGGACCAAGGTCCAACACCACCTCCTCCGACGTAGTGTCTTGGGGGGGACAGGGACTCCCGCCCAGCCAGTGTGGACCACAGATTCTCATCGCGGCGATCAAGACGCACGGTTAACTTTCCCCTCGCAGTTCGCAAGCCCGTCCCGTGCCCATTGGAACGGGGCACATCAGCTTATTCCCCGCGGCCCAGGGTCGCAGACGCGCGATGGTTCGCTGCTAGTTTTTTCCTTCCTGGGCTTTTGCGATTGTTGGCCCGTCGTCCCTCTTTGCGTTGCTTGTTGCTTGCCTGCCTGCTTGCTATTATACATACTAATTATTACCCCTGACCACAAACCCTGGCAACGAACCCAGGTGCTTCGTACGCAGCTTCAGCTAATCCAGCTAAAACCAAAGCACGCAGGGTTTGATGGGCAACAGTGTATCATCGCACTGGTTCGTGAGTACGCTACACATAGGTGACACGGTGATTTGATGGCCCTCTCTGGCAGTCTGGCTCCTCTGGCTCCCCTTGCTCAAGCCATCACGAACATGCGGTCCCGCAATTCGCTGATCAATCCAAACGACACTGGACTGAAGCTGGTCTAGGCCGTCGCAAACTGATATGATTCTGATAGCAGACGCGTAGAACTTGTCATGTACCGAGGACGAACAGACCTCCTTTCGACGTCTTCGAGACGTCGACGCGCACGCGGCTCCGCACCGCTTTGCAGCTTTTGACAGCGTCTTGAGTCAAGCAACACCCACCAGTGCCACGCCCCCCCGGCAAGACGTCACATTGGGAGCGACAAGCACAGATGGCAGATATCCGTATCTGAACTGCGCACTTGCCGAATGCAAGATTTACTGCCGATTTCCTTGAAGATTTGCAATGGATTGACATGACGTCCCCCTCACTGCTCAGGCATGGCCCCCTACACTGCCGAATCCAACGGCTATCTGCGCCCCCTTCTAAGTTCCCCAATCCCATCAGCACAAAGGACAATGGCAAGATGGAGGCTTGACCGGCAACGGCCGGACCGCTCGTGGAGCCCGGGCTGTCGCTTGCTTCCCCAGAAAGCTATGTAAAATGGATCGGTCACAACTCACAAAGCAACCATCCCAAGGCTTCCCGCTCGAGGCGACAGATTCGAGAAGAAGAAGAAGAAGAAGAAGAAGAAGAAAAAACTCTGCTAGATCTGTTTGCCAGGTTGGGGGGGGAGGGGTAGGGGGGAGGAGGGGGGAGGGCCAAGAGAAGGCCCGGAGAGTGGGAAACACAGAGACACAGAAACACTGTGTGCGAGGCATCGGAATGTCAACCAGGACTCCTCCTCACGTGGCGAGACCGTTCTCAGCTCCCCACGCCACCAGCGCTAAGATGAACATGGGTTGGAAGCGGACACTGTATTTCAGAGGGAACATGGGAGTAGAGTGGGAAGCGTGGGAGTGTGTAAGCCTCACTATCTTTTCTCCCGGCAACAACACACACTGCCATGCTTGCTTTTTCCTTCTTTTCTCATCTAGTCATCCTCCCGTCTTTTCGTCTGGTCCCAAGACATCAGAGCAGAAAAAAAAAATCCTTCCTTTTCTCCTGAAGACTTCGGGCCAGGGGATCTAACGCTGGGACCCGGTGCCAGCTAGTGGTGGCATATGTCAGTCTCTTGTCTTGAATGGCCTGGCCGCACTGGCTTTTCTGTCTGATTTCCGGCCCTTTGTGTCAAAGCGGAGGGCCTAGCGCAGGTCGTCTCTGGGGTTAACTGCTCTAGCGTTGACTTGGTGCTTGGAACCTCCCTTGTACCTGGCACTACGGCTTCCTCATCCTCCAATGTAGACGCCGTGTTTGTCTCTCTTGGGTACAATTACGATTCATGGCTCCGAGCCGGGACAATGCCTGCTTTTCCCAATGAGCCCCATTTGGCGTGGTTGGTGGCTTGCCGCTTGATTCTTGTCTCTATCGATGGACACAGACTAGGCCTCAACCTGTCCGAGAGCTCTTCGGAGGAGGAGGGACCTTGGCTGGGACCAGCAATCACCTGGGTGAGATTCAGCTTTGCCCACCGCGGCGAAACTTACAGATAAACAGCTGAGCTCCCACGTTGCTCCCTGAGCGGGAAGAGAGAAAGATCTGTTTCTTCATCTTCATTCCGCCTTTATTAGTAGTATTGATCTGACCATATAGTGTCGTGTGCGGGTCAACATACAAGGCTACCCTCGATAACACCCCAGAGCCACTCAGTCCAACATCACCGTCTGATAACAACCCCTCATGTCTTTACAGCCCTACCAGGCACCAAGACGAGGCACTATGACCGCCGCCATGTATGGCAAGCCAAAGGCCAAGGAGTCCGTCCTGGACCTCTGCACGAGGGCCACGCTCCTCGGAAACAACATCTCGGTGCGCATGCTCGAGTTCCTCACCAACGTCAAGCACCAACCGCACGGCTTCAGAGAGCTCGCCAATGACTTCCTCGACATCTGCCGGATACTATGGTCCATCGAGGCTGGCCTCTCCGAGGCAGCTCGCACTCACCAGGAGTTCCCCGCCGATATGATCAAGGAGCTCGACATGAAATTCCGTTCGACCAACTCCGACTTCCAGGTCCTCGACCACATGATGTTCGAGTTCCTCGAGTACGAGAAGAAGGGTGCCATGGGCAGGATCCAGCGCGGCTGGCGCATGATGTTTGCCGACAAGGAGATCTTGAGGATGAGGGAGTCGATACGCAAGGCAAGAGATGCGCTGAGGATGAGTGCTCTCGTCTTCCAGTGGTCTCTTGGAAACTCAAAGACGGACGATGCTGTTGGCAACGGCTATGCCGGCCTCGCTGCCGCGTTGGACCGCATCAGCAACCACAACTCGACGGTGCGGATATCAAAGTCCAAGTCGTTCGAGGTCCAGTCGACGACACCACCGGATCGCTCTGACGAGAGATCCCCTCCCCTTCCTGCTCTTCCATCCCAAGCACCCCACATTCCTCCTCCTTCCTTGGTAGAAAAGATGTCCGCAGACTTCGTGGAGATGAGGCTATCACCAGACCCTCGTCGTCGCACATCCATCTCCAACAGGAGTCACCACAGCTCCTCAGAGAATGGACACTCTACTAGGGTTCCCGACCGCAGAGTCGGTCGCGACGATATCACCATCTCAGAGCACGGCCACTACGACCTTCACCCTGTCAGCACAAGAATCAACATGGACAAGAGATCAGCGCGGGACGATATGACAATCTCGGACCGTGGAATGTCAGACCGTGGCATGTCGGATCGCGATACATATGACGCTCCCAGCCGTATCTCGGACAGGAGAAACCTGCGTGACTCGGACAACACCATTTCGCCTTCATCATCAGGTACAGAGACACTGATTGGCGAGCTTCAGAACATCGCCGACAGCATCCCAACCAAGGTTGTTCGCTTGAAGGCCGACCCCATGACGATGCCTCGCTGGACACCTCGTCACAACGCTGACGGCAACCCGTCGCTCAAGACCTCTCTTATTGCTGCCGTCCAGGGCAAGAACCACAAGCTCGTCGAGCAGCTCCTGGATCGTGGTGTCTCACCCGACACTGGCGCCGATCAGCACGTTCTCGTGGACTCTGTCCTGTGCCAGGATTACGAGGCAGTCCGCTTGTTGCTTCTCTTCGGTGCCGATCCCAACTCTGCCGACAAGGATGGCATCACTCCCCTTTTCGCAGCAGTAGAGATGAACTCGCTCGATCTCACCAAGATGCTTCTCAAGTATGGTGCGGACCCCAACATATCCGCTGGACCTTCACAAGAGTCCCCGCTTGCCATCGCCGTCATCGATGTCAAGATCAACTTTGTCCACATCCTCCTCACATATGGCGGTGACCCCAACCACATCATGGCCAACGGCAACACCGTCCTGATCGCTTCCATGAACAAGACCACACCAAAGAAGCTGGTCGACCTCATGCTCGACTACGGCTCCGACCCCAACGTCAAGAACAGAGAAGGTAAGACTGCTCTGTTCGAGACTATCATGGCTGCAAGAGTGGACCTCCTCACTGCTCTCTTGGACCACGGTGCCAACCCCAACCTGCCCGGTCCTAAGCACATGCTTTGGCCCGCGACCTACCAGGCTCCTTGCTTGAAGGTTCTTCTGGCGCGCGGTGCTGATAACAAGCGGGCACCCGGTAACATGGAGCTCGCTGTCAGTATCAACAACATTGAGTCCGTCCGCGTCCTGCTCTCTGCCGGCGTCTCGCCCAACATCAAGAAGGATGGCATCTACACACCCTTGTGTACCTCCATCCGCGACAACCGCGCAGACATCTTTGAGCTCCTCCTCACCAGCGGTGCCGACCCCAACCTCAACTCCGCCGAGTACCCCGCCTTCAAGTGTGTCACGCACTTCCGTACACACTTCCTCCCTCGCCTGGTTGCCGCCGGCAACGACCTCCACAACCCCAAGGGCATCATCGAGATGGCCGTCCGGGTCAACAACATGGAGGCGCTCAACTGGCTTCTCGACCAGGGCGTCAGCCCCAACGACAAGGGCGATGACGGCAATACCCCTCTGACGACCGCCATCAAGGATGGCCGCATGGAGATGCTCGACGACCTGATCGCCCACGGCGCGGACCCCAACGTTCGCGGCAGCGACTGGCCAATCGTCATGTCCGTCATGCACCCCGAGGTCCTCGAGAAGCTTCTCCCTGCCGTCCCCGATATCCGCTCTTTCAAGGGTCTCATGGAGCGCGCCGTCGTCGCCAACCAGCTCGAGAGCGTCAAGCTCCTGCTCAAGGCCGGCGTGTCCGTCGAGGACAAGAACGGTGGCGTCTTCTCGCCCTTGACCTCTGCCATTCGCGAGGACAACAAGGAGATCACCAAGTTCCTCATCGAGCAGGGTGGCGCCGACATCAACGCCCCCGGCGAGCACTTGCCCATCGTCAAGGCGGTGCGCCGGTGCCGCGGCGATGACACGGACATCATTGAAATGCTGCTCCGCAAGGGCGCTGACGTCAACAAGATCTACCGCGGATGGAACGCCATCTTCCAGGCCGTCGAGAACGGCGACGCCAAGGTCCTCAAGCTTCTCGTCGAGGCTGGCGGTGTCGACCTCGACGCCAAGGACGATGCTGGCCGCACCGTCATGGAGATTGCTGCCGGTCGCGGCTGGGAGGAGTCTGTTGGTATCATCCTCTGGGATGGCAAGAACAAGTCGTGAATCCACTGACATGTCTTGCTCTCACGCTTTCTTTTATCTCTCTCTCTCTCTCTCTCGTGTAACTGACCCAACGCCGAGGAATGGCGCAACTTTCTACTTTCTTTTGTAATGTCATGTACGAGATACGGAGGATGGATGGGGTGGGTAACTGAAGTTTTCTCATGTAACATGGCGAGACTTTATGATATCACATTGATTTGTTCTTCTAATGCGCCTCGATATCATCTATCTTTGTTCACTTCTATACCTCCCTGTTTAGACTCTGGATATTCCAATACCTGATCACCTAATTGAATCTCAATACCACTTCAACATGACTTGCGAATATTCACTCGTGAATACCCCGCTCGTAACTTCCTAACATGGGCCTAGGTAAGATACATTAGCACATCTAGACACGGCCTATGTTCACTCAACTCATTACGACATGCTTGGTTCGTTCGTTCCAAAGCATTTTCGACTGACGTTTTACCCTGTGCCACCATCGTATCACCACAACAAAAGAGTATCTGCTAGCAAAAGATTGCCTCGTGGCGGAATCGAACCGCCGATCTTCTCATGTCACTAGTACTAGTGAGACGCTATACCACTTAGCCAACAAGGCCCTTGACGATGCATCGTTTGTGTGCTTGCTGACGGGGCGAGGGATTGCAGGTTCATTTTTCGAGATTGCTTGCGTTGTGGGTTGGGGATGGGGAGGGCGGGTGCTTGCGTCCCACCAACCCACTTGGTTCACGATGGAGACACTTGAGGGGCAAGGGTACCACTCTGTGGTCGGCCACAACTTGGGAGTTTCCATGCGTGGGTCTCTTTGATTCTGACTGTTCACAGCGTGAAAGTTCCCACATGGCACGGGTGGAATTTCATTTAGGCGGGAAGTCGAATGTTTTCCATGTAACGTACCTGCATAGCGAGCGACGCATCATAGCGAGCGACGCACTCTCTCAAACCTTTCTACCTTATGTATAAGTTAACTTAGCCACAACGTACGAAATCAATTAAAACTATATATCACCCTCTTCCTCATTACTATCCCAAACCACTTCACAGGTTCGTGCGTTATGTCCAGGCTTCCCGCAATTACCACATCGTCGCGCGCGTGGTTCAGCACCTTCCGTACGACCCTCCTTCTGAGGGTTATTCTCTCCTCCAGCATTAACACCACCCTTCTCTACTTGTAGTGCCTCTGCTTCAGCACTATTAAGTGACCTTCCAAGACGTAGCCGGGTCTTTTTTGCCCTCCGGCGCTTACTTAGTACCTCTATCCCCGTACGAAGCTTACGGTTCTCAGCCTCAATAATAGCAAGCCTATGGGCTAACTTGCTAATACCTCTGGCCTGGAAGTCAATTACTTCGTACATTGGTGTTGGTGAGCTACCTTGATGTGCTTGGATCTTCCTTTTAAGGGAGGTAGCACTTCGTACGCCCTCTAGTGCTGTAATTGGTGTCCTTGGGTCCCAGGAGCCTTGGCTGCTTGGCCGTGAGTTTGATGGTGTTGGCGTCTTTGGCTTGAAATCCAAGCGAGAAATAACCACTTCAGGGTTAAAAGGTACAAGGCCTGCCTGCCTAAAACCAGCTCGTACGTTATTTTCGCCCATGGAAGTAAAGAATGCTGCTTTAAAGGCAGGAAAGAAGTCATCCTTTGTAATATGGGAAATCTGTATCCGCATCATCTTCTCGATTTCCTTGCCGTACGAGTACTTTAACGGGCTAAAGCACCCAACATCAAGAGGCTGAAGCTCGTGTGATGAATGGGGAGGCATACAAAGAGCAATAATGTTTTGTTCCTTGCAGTATTCGTCAAAGTCAGTCGATTTATGACTATTATGGCCATCAAGGATCAAGAGGCGATAAGAGCCCTTCGTACGAGTCCTTGTACACTGATTAAAGTGCTTTAGCCAATCTAGGCCAATATCATTTGTCGTCCATCCATTTTCGCTTGGATGGATACGCCATGTGGCTGGAAATTGGCCATTAATATACCACGAGAGGAGGTGATATTTGCCCTTTACGATGACGTACGGAGGCAGCGCCCAGCCATCCGCACATACACCCTGAATGACAGAAACCCATTCTCGATTGCCAGGCTGTTTCGTACGAGGCCTTCCCTTACGGTCAGAAGTCGTAACAACCTTTGCGTGCGATAGCATTCCCATCAGGAAACCAGTCTCGTCAAAATTATAGATATCGTTATCCTGTATCCCATACTTTGCAATTGTGTTTCGCACAAGTGCAAACCAGCCTTGTATAATCGTAGGATCCTCAGCTAAGGCCCTCTGATAGTCGATTCGACGTTGAAACCGCATTTTCAATTCAGGGACGCGTCGTACGAAGTTCTCTGCCCATCGCGGTCCAGTACGCGTCCCATCGCGTGCGTTTAGGAGTTGGTCGGCCATTTCTCGTACGTCTTCTTGTCGCGGAGGGAACCCTCGATCGATTAGGTCAATAACTCGTTCAAGAATCACCTCCTCTTCTGTTATAGTCATCTTCATCGAATTTGGTCGTGTTTCACCTCGTGCGACGCGTCCAGCGCGTCGGTGGCGGAGGGTTGATTCAGGGACCTCATAGATAGAGGCAGCTCTTCGTATAGACTTTTTCGGGTCTTTTTCAATAGCTTGGAGGGCAAGGGTAATTCGACTTTCAATTGAGGAGGATTGCATGTTCGTACGTGGAGAAAAGGTGACCTAAAGATGAAGAGGGTAGAATTGGGAGGACGTGCGTCGCTCGCTATGATGCGTCGCTCGCTATGCAGGTACGTTATCGGAACTTTCGTGTATTGTTCTATCTAGTGAAAGGACGTGTACGCATAGTCAATGCTTGAAAGGAAGGAATGTCGTGTATATGATAGCGGGTTGGTCTAACAATGGTTAAAGAAATTCGCTTGGCTGCTAAAGTCTCTTCCCCGGAAGGTGGTGCTTTCGCATGTAAGTCGAAGCTAATCGAAAGTTAGGAAAGGTGTCGACTTTAGGTGTTCCAAACTCGAGGTCATCGCACACTCACGTATCTAGCTTGTTGAGCAGATGTGATTACGCCATGATCTCCGAGAGACCGATTACGACCTGGAGGCAGCAGCCTTGGGAAGCTGGCACCTTGCGCAGGTCGTAGCTGTCGATGGCGGTGAGGTTGCAGGACATTGGCACATCTTGGAGGGATCCGAGAGCGCAGTGATGACCGAGACTGGAACGATGGGGCCAGGCATATTGACTATCGAGTGTTTGTGATTGTTGTCTCGATCTGGAAAGAGACGGGAGAAAAAGAAGATGAGTCGTGTTGAAGTGGTAATATTGTAGTGAAGTTGTGCTGCTTGGTGCTCTCGAGAAATGAATGGAAGAGCAACTGCCATCTTTATATACCAATGTATAGGCTGTGGCCATCTCTCGTCGCTATCTGAGATGAAGGTCTACGATATGAGTAGCCACAAGACCACACTCTGACCGAGATGACAAGCAGGACTTGAGACAAGGGCCAACAACATGAGACTACGCTTTTGGGAAATAATAAAGAGCAGCAGGGGTCATCAGCCCTACAGGGCAGCGGGCTTGCAGCTTGCTACACCGAGACACGATGTATCCGTAGCCTCGGTTCGATGAATCCTTCTCAGATGGGATACCGCCGCTAGCAAAGGCAGTCATCAAAGCAGGTCGTACAGCCTCATCCATGGAGGAGGTCAACAAAGTCCTAGAGAATGGCAATTTGGTCTTTCCCATTGGCCCAGGGATAGCGAAAGTGACTGACAGAAAATGAGAAAGAATGGTTTTAGACCTCAGACTTCCAGTCGGGCCGTCTGAACGAGGTCAGTTGTCGAGGCTAGACTCTTGGCTTGGTACATCGTCAGAACATTTGGATTCATCTTCGAGATGAACAGTAAATCAAGAGCGAATCACAATAGTGAGCTAGCAATTCTGCACCGGAACCGCGCCGCAAAAGTGGATGATTCTCATTCCTGAATTTTAGTTCAGCCTGAGGTGGTTCTTCTGCAACATTGTATTCGACAATGCACCCTGTCTTGTGGCGAGAATGGTATTGCTAAGCTGGTGAGGATATAATCTTGAGTGTCGATTGCCGTTTTAGGCAAATCTACGTTGAACCGCAGGCTGAGGGCCAAGAGAAAAGAGAGCAGTTTCCCGAATAGGAAATTGTACGTCGCAGAGGCACAACCGAGGCGACCTGGCCAATTGCGCCTCTTGATTCGTTTCTCAAGAGCAAGCGTCTCTTAAGGAGGCTGATTTAAGCGTCTTACTCACTCTCCGTAGACTCGGGCGTGGGGGCGAAAACAACTCAGTCTGACGGATGACAGGGCCAGGCACCCAGTGTATTCTGTTGTGCCCCAGGGTTGCCTCTGCTGACACACATAGGGCTGAGCTGAGATTTATCACGAGGCAGATTGCACTGCAAAGATCGATCATGCACAATGAATTGCCTGAATGGGAAATAGAGATGCTGGCGGTGCCGAAGCTCGTTCATGGGGCCCTCAAATAGTAGGCAACTCGGCCGAGGGACGGGACTGAAGCGTGGGGGAACATGGGAGGGGGCATCTGCTGAGACACCTTCGTTGGTTATACCGTCTTGATTTTTAGGGGTGGCCAGCTTGGCAAGGTTCCTGAATTAGTACCGATTTCCTCTACTGTACTTGAGAGTTGCAAAAGGCAGCAATAATCCGATCAAATTTGCAGAATTCTGAGTTCTTTCGGACGGCTGCTTTCCTCAAATCTGCACTTTGCAGGAGGAAATTTTCTCTAGATTCATCCAGTCGCGAGATACTAGATTCGTGTAAGTGTGGAAGCCTCGTCTCGTACTCTGGAAGCCACCTCCACACGCCCACGAGTCTCTGAAGGACCAAGCGTGGAGGGCTGAGACACTTCTGCGAAGACCTTTTTTCCTTCGTAACCTGGCCATTCATCATTGGCTTTTCACTGCAATGCACTCATCAGAGGTGTTCCCATGTGGCAGAAAGAGCATGTCAATCACATAGTATCCGCACGTAAGGCAGTGTAAGGTGGTGACTCGGTGAGAGAACCCCTCATTTCAGAACGGCCAACCTCAACCTCGGTCACAGCATCGCAGTAGTCAGCATCCTGTTTATTCTCACATACATGAATGTTTCGCCTACGGACATGTGTGCTACTCTGTCAATCTGGACCTTCATATGACAGCATTCTAGCCAACGTTCGAGGCCTTTCCGGGGACGCTCGCGTCGTCTTGCTGTCTCAGCCACGCGTCTTCGTGGGACCAACCCCCAATAGTAGTGGTTGTAGTAGTCAGAAGTCCGACAAGCGAATCCTTCTACTGAATCTGCAAACGTCTAATGAGTTGACTCGAATTGAGTTTCTCGAGGCTACCACCGCCAGAACCTCCCATCCGATACTTACCTACGTTGTTCGGTGAGACGCGCGGGCATACATTGGTGCCTTCGCAGTACTCTACAAGGTGGGAGCACCCAAACCTGCCAAGAAATTGCTTCAATATTCCCTGCTAACAATGGAAGAAATCCTTACCAAATTCTCATGAGATCATGGTCGAATCATGCGATGGGCGGAGGTTTTACAGTGGTGGTATTGTGGAGTCCTCTCGAGGACATTATACTTGAGAAGTTGAGTGGCTATTTTCGATATCTACAAATCCCCGATAGTCTAGTGGTGAGGATATCTGCTTGTCATTGAACTTCGACGATTCGCAGGGGACCGGGGTTCAATTCCCCGTCGAGGAGCATTTCTTTTGTCTTTTCGTCGTATTAATCACAATCGCATTTTATATTTCAAGTTTTTCATCATTTAGGGCGTGTTGTGGAAGAGAACGAGTTGGATTGCGCGTGTGGTGCGGCTTGGGGGAGAGTGAAGGGAGGGCTTTGTAACAATCGAGTAGGCACGTACTTTGGGACCAAACTGTTTGCTCTGGGCGTTGAGCTGCATCTTCTGTGTCCCATAGACTTCAAGTGACCGGAAACTAGGCCTCCTTCTTCCCCGATCTTGCAAAACGAAGTGATAATCCTGTAACAGAATATATAACAATCGGTGAAATCCTTCATCCGTATCAGGAAGGTAAACTCCGGTGCACTGATCGCTATAAGTCAGGGATGCTTCCGTCATCCATCGCCGACTCCGCACCGGCAAACTGCTCCGATGCGCTTATCGGCCACGGCATTGTCGCCCGACTTCCCTCAACTCTCGTCGTTGAATCGTCACTAAACCATTGAGACTTGCTACCTTCACTCTGCTCTTCGCCTCTACAGTGTGACCCAACTTACTCCCGATCCAGTCGCCGGCATGACCCTCCGTAAAGCTCCCGCTCTCACCGGCCCCGCCATGGAGCTTCCCCGGCGCACTTCCCCGAGGCAGTGGGTGGCCGACTCCGAGGATGCGATCCCGGAGAAGCTCATCAAGCCATGGAAGCTCCCTCAGCAAAACACCTACCTTTTCATCAACGCAAACGTCGTAGACACCGCCAAAGGTCGCGTCATCAAGAACACGTCTGTCAAGATTTCCAATGGCTTGATTGAAAGCGTCGGTGGAAGCCCGGCCGATAGCACAGGCAATGATGCCATTATAGTTGATCTCCAGGGCAAATACCTCTCTCCGGGTCTTATCGACTGCCATGTCCACGTCAGCTCCGTACCCGGCGAGGCCGGCCTCAACGGCGGCTTCGACATGGATGCCACCGTCTCTCATCTGCGGCAATCGTTCGTCTGCGGTCGCATCCTCAGCAAGGGCTTCACCACGGTCCGCGATACCGGCGGCGCAACTCTCGCGCTAAAGGAAGCAATCCAGGACGGCGTCTTCCCGGGACCCCGCTTGTTCATCGCCAACCAGGCTCTCTCGCAGACGGGAGGCCACGGCGATCGCAGAGGCGCCCACGATCACTCGGGGCTCTGCTGCGGAGGCACGTCGGGTCTCTCCAACGTCGTGGACGGCGTGCCGGAGTGTATCAGGGCGACGAGGGAGCAGCTGAGGACGGGGGCGGACTTTATCAAGATTATGGTCGGCGGCGGCGTCGCGTCGCCGACTGATAGGATCGAGAATACGCAGTTTACGGCGGACGAGATCAAGGCCATCAGCGAGGTCGCGCGGAGCTACGGGACTTGGGTTACGGCTCACGCATATACCCCGCGGGCGATCCGTCACGCGGTCGAGAACGGCGTCACGGGCATTGAGCACGGCAATTTCATCGACAAGGAGACGGCAGAGTTCATGGCTGAGAACGCCGTGTGGCTGACGCCTACGCTGGTTACGTACGACGCCATGGGATCCGACAAGTACAAGGGATTCTTGCCCCCCGCAAACCAGCAGAAGAATCAGGAGGTCTTGAAAAGGGGCCTCGAGTCGTTGAAGATTGCCGCCGCAGCGGGCGTCACCATCTGCCACGGATCAGATCTGCTCGGCCCCCTCCAGGCTGAGCAGAGCAGGGAGTTTGGCATCCGCCAGCAGGCTCTCAGCAACAAGCACGTACTTCGATCTGCCACAGTCAACGCCGCCAGGATGCTCCGACAGCAGGATGTGCTGGGGCAGGTGAAGGAGAAGTTCGTGGCAGACTTGCTGATTCTCAATGGGAACCCATTGGACGACGTCTCGATACTGGATGAACCGGAGAAGAACGTCTTGGCTGTGATCAAAGATGGCCGGGTCTACACGAGCCGATGGAGCAAGCTCCCAGAAGATGTGACCGAGCCGTCTCGATTGATTGAGTGAGCAGTATGCGGGGACAGGGAACTTGTGAATATGTGACGGGAGAATCAGAGCCAGGAATTGAGCAGGACTGTTGCTTGTGGGAGCGGTGGACCAAGTAACGACATGTTCCTATCCACCGGGGGGGACTCTTGATTGCCGAATGCCATGTCAAAATCACGACATGTTGGGAACATTGGAGTTTGATTGATCTATAATGTTCTCATACTAATCTATATCTCGAACGCTGCTACCCATGCTATACGTGACTTTGCCGGGGATAGCGGGTGCTGAATCACTCTGCTCGGCCTCCCGAAGATGCTGCTGCGACAGGTTGTCTACAAGAACGAACCCATCACTCTGGCGTTCGCTCCTCCTATTCGAGACACCGTCGGACTTCCCGTTTGAGCTGTAGTAGTTTGCAGTACCCTTTTTCGAGTACTGGGAGCGGCCAAGCAGAGGTCGGAGGAACGGGATGCACGCGAGGGTGATGCCAACGCCGGGCTCCAGCGCGCTGAAGATGAGAGCGCTGGGGATGTTGAAGGTCACGTCGAGATACACGAGGTTGGCAAGGTAGTAGAGGCGCAGAGCTGAGACGATGCAGGTGCTATCCAACGCGGTCAGCATATCATGATATTCCGGGTGTCGAGGCATAACTTACAAGACTCCGAGTGAGAAGGTGATGATCAGAGCGACCTTCTTGTACATCTCCAGCCGAAGACCCCACAAGTGAGAAACTGGCATGACGAGGACGATGAGATCGGTAATCATGTTCAATACCCCCATCGTCCCATCTGCCGCGGGTTGATTCCCGCAGTGCCGGTTCTTGAGATCGAGGAGCCAGTTGTCCGAGAGAGGGATGCAGATGAAGAAGGCAATCAGCACCGTGACTACCACCCACATCATAGTGAAGGCGGCCAGTATTCGTGCTGATAAGATCATGAACCTGGTGCTGAAGAGCTTGGAGTAGAGGAGGAGGATGGCTATCTTGCAGAGGCCGAGGCTGATGGCCCACAAGATCTGTTGAGCGACAAGGACCTAGAGGGAGATGCGTCAATAACTACAAAGGCGTCTTGAATGTGAAGGTGCCACGAACTTTGAGAAACTTGATGATTGGGCCAACCCCATACTTGGGTATGATGACAGCATTGTGAAGGCCAACACCGCATTGCATGACACCGACTATGGAGACTGCTTGCAAGGCATTGGAGAAGACCTGGCAGAGAGAAGTGAGTTGAAGTCCCTATCTCAACCCGCAGGAAGGTAATCTCATTGTTGGCATGATAAATAACTTACGAGTGCAGCAATGATAGACCAATCACTCAAGTCCATCTCTCTGTGCGCCATGCGCCTGGCGATGAGGCGGAGGATCACCATCACCGTCGGAACGATGATGAAGACGATAGACACCGCAACCACGGAAATCTGGCCCGGATCCTCCAGCGGAAATATCACCACCTTGTCTCCCATCGTCGGCGTCTTCAGTGCTGATGCCGCCATATTGTCGTCCCGGTAGGTTGCGATGGGAAGGAGACCTTGACCTTGTCGTCCACACTACGTGTGGATTATGCGGGAAGCGGAGGTGGGACGAACGTTCAAAGGTCCAAGCATCCAATCCATGAGAGCAAGACGCTTCATTTTTGAACTCTCGAGGTCTCCTCTCTCCCCCAGTTCCCAACGGCCCGAGGACTGGAACCTAGAACCCAGACCACAGACCTTTCTCTGCTCGTTTCTTTTTGGGGCGGGACACATCAGGTCACCCAACAGCCCCCGAAGCGGTGGTTTTGTTTGCTTTTTTCTTCCCACTGTGGCCACCAGAATGGCAAGCTGCATACCTTATCGACCGCAGTGCAGACGCGGTGCAGCTGTGGCAGGGGTACGGACAGCCTAGAGTGCCCATAAGAGGAAAGGATAGAAATACTGGTGTGGCCACATCTGCTGCCACGCGATCAGAAGTCGAGGGAAACATCAGAATGCCCAGACTTTTTCCCACGTCGCGAGAAACAGACACTGTCAAGCACACCGGCTAAGAAATGAGCTGGAGGTGTGATAGCTGCGCTGCGTCGTGCTTTAGTGGTATGTAAAAGTGGATGCCCGCAAACAAAATGATGCAAATGGGCGATGCTAAATTTGTAAATATGATAGAATTCATGGGAAAAAACATGACGAGATGATCTTGCTTGCGAGTCAGCGACAACGGCAGATATTCTCAATGACTTTCTCGTATGGGATGGAATTATGGGCGCGTTTCCAATAACTTGTCTGAATTACAACATTACCCGAAGGACAATGCCCTCATCTCATGGAATTGGCCATGGCTCCCGCAAGGTCCAAGGATCCTCGTGTCAGCTTGCCTAAAGAAGCCTGTCGTGTTACGATATCCGAGATGTTGGCCCCGGTGCCCCAAAAACATAGATATCGATCGCGGTCATCTCAACATGTACCGAGTTTGCGAGGAGATCCAAGTCGATTCCATCATAAAAGCATGGTCGATGAACGAACCAGACGTGGCGCCGGGCGAAGCAACCCCCCCTCGACGGCAGATGGCCAGCCCTTTGACCACGGACGCAGGGAAGACAAAGACATGGATCCCCTCTCGCTAACCGAGAATCCTTCTTTTCTTTCTTCCTCCTTCGCTGCCTTTGATCACACATGCATTCCCCGTTTTCCCGTTCCTGCATGGGTGGTCTTGGTGGTTTCCACACCAATCACAAACGCAGCTTTCATCTTCGCTTCAGACTGTGCATATCTAGTTTGCTCTAGGTCGATGCTGTCATCAGCCCGTCGCCCGTTTGAAAAAGATGGCTTTTCCAAGGTTACCTTCTTACCCCGACTTAGCTGAACTCTTCCTAGCCAGCCCCTCGCGAAAATCTCGTTACGACTTCAACAACGTGGGATACGGGTGGGAACGGCGTCGATAGCTTCCCTCTACTGCACGACACCACCTATCGACACCCTTGTCCCCCGTTGAATCGCGTGTGGCACACCACCATAACCTGTCCGAAAAAGGCTCGTCGTCCGGGAACCACCGTACCACCCAGCCAACTCAATTCTGACGTCTCACTCGAGAGGCATGTCTGGCAGGCTTAGGGTCTCACTACGGAAGCGGGAGAGGCAGCATTAGCTTCCACAAAAAAAAGAGATTTTCTTCCTCCCTCCTTATCGTCACAAGCCACTGCCTATCGGTTAAACCACTTCAGAACCGCGCTGAATGACGGCTAAGCTAGGAAATGCGAGGACGGGACGGGAGGTAGAAGCCGGCAGCCGTCTCAAGTCCGTTGTGGAGGGAAGAGATATGAGGGAATATCATTGCGTTAATGAGAAGCTTTTGTTTTTGGAATGCCCAGCATGTCATTATGCATTCACTAAGAAAGATTTCCGGCTTCCCCGTCATGCCGCCGTGGAGGTGTTAGTGATGTGGCTGGGTTGTGCGCCGAGCGCGACCACCGGGATGCGGAGGATCTTCCGCTTCAATGATATCCACGAGTAGCAGACATGTACGGTAAGTAAGGAAGAACTCTTAAATTTCTCAGTACCAATATTGAAAAACTTCCATCAAGTCCCTGAGGCCTGAGCGATCGTATCATCACTCAACTCGCTGAGCGTCATTCGACCTGTCGCACGTGGATCAAGCTCAATCACAGCACTTATGATAACCTAGCTGAGTGAAACGTTATGTAAACGATCACCGTCCGCCATGGAAAATTAACTCGGTGTGACATATGCGGCTCAAGATGAAAGGGCTGAAAGGGCCGTGAGTCTCGGGTAGAAAATATGATCAATCGCGGACAAACGAGTTAGCGGCTTCCCCTGGTTCAAACGACGAGATCCAATCGGAAGATGCCTCTCGACGCCTCAAGGAGCTAGCACAGTGCCTGGCAGATGTTATCAAAGTCTCATTTTGTGAAACTATAGCTTTGGATAGGGTGCATAAGCTGCTCTATCCTGCAGTAGTGAACGCAGCTAAGGTCAAGTCTATGGAACTTCAAACGTAAGCAAGTAAGCGGAAAACCCCATCATGACTAAGTGGCAATCGAAATTGATATAAGGGAATAACTTTCAAGCTGCATCACCTAGCAGACGAAGTCGATAGAACGACTAAAGTGGGAACGATGAATCCTGCCTTTGTGACTTTGAAATGATGCTCCAGCCCCGCAGCCTAACTCAACAGAAAGGTTTGACTTGTATATCTCAGCGGAATCTTCTCAACTTGGTGGTATTGTTCAATCATAAAGATTTCTCCGGGGCGATGTCCCAAAGTCGATGCAAGTAAACTTGCAGCCATTTTCGAGGGTAGGTGGGCGTTTAAGGCACACATAGTCTAAGGTGACTCGAGTCTCGGGTTCCAAGGAATAAGAACAGATACAAAAGCCTCAAGAGTTCGTTTCTAAAGGATGGACCGAGGGTTGAAAGCCCCCCAGATATTTCGGCCGCGTACTAAGTTACATGCGCTGGCATGGACGCTCTATGGATATAATCTCTACATACTAACACTGGTATGGTGAGATACCTTAGTAAATGACGCAGGCCGGCTTGATTTCAACGACGCCTTATTACACTCTACCTACACAAATATGACGTTACCGATGTCTGATGCTAGTATGGGGATAGCACCTATCGCTACATATTTACAGATCCAGTGCTTCTCACCGAGAAGTATCGCCGAGAAGTAAAGGCAAGGAGTAAATAGTTGCATCTAGCTTCTTCCCAATCCCGCGGTGATCCGCGACGATGTACCTCTTCCACTACTTCTTCTCGACCTGCTCGTATGATTCACAATAACTGGCTTCAGTAACTCTGGCAGGACAACTGCCGCATCCCCTACAAACACCCAGTCCTTATCCGGCCGAATATGTCTAGCGTCCTCAGCTCGCGTGTTGATGACCGCAACTCTCGCACCCTTTTTGCGAGCCATCTCGGCATACCCAGCAGCCGGCCAGACCTTGCTGGTAGTCCCAATCGTTAGGAAGAGGTCGATGGGCTCGGGATCATCGAAAAGCGCCTGAGCCTCCTCGACAACCTCAACCGGAAGTGGCTCGCCGAACCAGACGACGGCGGGGCGGAGGATGCTCTTCTTGCACTTGGGGCATTGTGGCAGGTCCTTTTCCTCCAATCCCGATGACAGCCGAACACCAGCGATGGGATTTGAGGGCGCCGGTTCGTCCGGGCCTTTCAAAGCGGTCAGATCCCGCGTGGTTGGTTTGTTCCCCTCATACTTGTCCCCGAGGATCTGCGCGTGTTTTCGGGCGATACCGGCCAAGAGAACCGGGCTGGCACGAGGCTTGTTGTCAGGATCAATGCTGCCGATGGTGCTCTCCTCGTCTTTTGAGGGATCGAGTGCCGGTGATAGAGGTTCCTCAAAGTTGTCGTGCTTGGTGTACCCGCACCCGATGATATCGACGCAAGACAACGCGAAAAGGTTGCCGTGGAGCTCCTTCAGCTGGCTGGGTGGATGACGAGCCCGAGGGCTCAGGTTATCGACATTCTGCGTCAGCGCGACGAAACCAGGTAATTTCCGCGCGAGCTCGGCCAGGGCATAGTGAGCGGGGTTCGGCTTGGCACGAAGGGCGTCGTGCCGGCGATACGTGTAGAATTGCCAGACGAGGCCCGGGTCGTGACGGAAGCCTGCGGGCGAAGCGACCTGCGTTATGTCCTGATTCCTCCACAGTCCGTTGACCCCTCTGAAGGTGGCTAGGCCTGAAGATACTGAAAGACCTGCGCCGATGACGGCAACGATGCGCTTTGACTTCTTGAGAGTCTCGTGAAAATCGGCGAGCGCGACAGGATCTACGTCGGGCAGGGCTGTAGTTGAGTCAGCCATCGTATCTTGGCGTAGAGATGATGGAGGTGTGGTTGGATTATATTATGATAGATCGATGTTTCGAGAAGTCAGGAGGGAAAATGTGTTCTTCAAATACCTCCCTCAGTTCTTGTTGGTTGCCTAGAGAAAATGCGGCACGACAACTCTGACGTGTCTACCTAGATCCCAAACTCCAACGCGACGAAGCAACCAACAAAGAAATGACATGTAACATAAATCCCCTTTTGAATTGCATATGTCTGTCGGAGATGACATTCGGGGGCCACAGACCAACACTGAACTGATGTGAACTCGGGGCGTCTCAAGATGCAAGGGGCCGCTGCCTGAGCAACATATTTTGGCGAAAATGTCGAGACTCTATTGGCTGGTGACAGCCATCGTAAGCTGCTACAGATATTAAAAGTCAACTACGAATTCAAAGACACCGACCTTGCTTCTCGCGCCAGCTCTACTGCCTTTTGCGCTGCTTTCCCAAAATCCGCCTCCGTGTGCAATCCGAGATTCGCTTCCTCCAGCTGTGAGTTCCAGTCAGCAAACTCAACATGATTGAAGAATGCACCGGATTGGTATGGAAATATCTTACAATTTTCAATCCCAGCTCAGAGTTGGTACCTTGAAGTCGGACCACCATAGGAATCTTGAGCGGACCCAGCTCTTTTGCTGCGCCAAGAATGGATTCTGCAATCATATCGCCTCTGGTAATGCCTGCGAAGAGATTGTTAACTAGAGAACCGTCTACCAAGCCTCCTCCATTCTTTGCACGGCAAGCTTACCGCCATAGATGTTGACGAGTATCGTCTTCACCCTCTGGTCCCTCAAAATAATCTCGAATGCCTTGACCATGGTCTCCTTCGTCGCTTGCCCGCCCGCATCAAGAAAGTTGGCACTGGCGCCTCCGTGCAGCGCAATGGCATCATTGGTCGCCATTGCGAGACCGGCACCATTGACCACGTTGCCAATATCACCGTCCATGTGAACATAGACCAGCCCGTACCTCTCGGCCTCTACTTCTTCTGGGATTTCGTGCTCCGTGTCTCGCTCTGCAAAAAGAGAATTTTGCCGCTTGGCGGCGGCATCATCAAAGGAGAACTTGGCGTCCGTGCAAGTTAGCCCTCCTTGGGGTGAGCTGGCTAGAGTCTTGATCTCTAGTAAAGTTGCGTCTTTGGTCGTGAAAAGTTTGTAAAGCCTGCCGAGAATGTCTTCTAGATCCTCCGTCTCCTTCGCTGAAGCTCCCAAACATCTTGAGACTTTGTCAGCGAGTCCGGATGTGATGCCCTCCGTGAATCCAAATTGGAACGTATGAAGATCGTCTGGATGTTGTGCTGCTATTGTTTCGATGGCGACTCCGCCAAATTTGGACGCGATGATCGTTGGACAGTAGTTCTCGCGATCGAACGTAATGGCCAAGTACCACTTCTTCTCGGAATTTACGGCTTCCGTGACATGAAGTTTGTTAATCAAAGTTCCGTTTCCCAAAGATTTAGCCGTCTTCAAAAAGTGACCAAGCATGCGATTGGCAACTTTTTCGGCACTTTCTGCGTCGTTGACCAGTTGGGTGCCGGCCCCTGAACCGTTGTCAAACGTGCCATCGTCGATGTCACCCCTCAATGTTTGTGATTTGAGAGCACAGGCTCCTCCTAGATGTGTCAGTATTTATTCGGAAGTATAGCAGAGGACCAATTACCAAGCTCTTTGGCAATCACTGCAGCTTCGGCCGGTGTTCTTGCGCGGTGACCTCGGGGTACTGGGATGCCGAACTGACAATAGAGCATTAGCGACCTAATTTTCAGCTATCTGGCACCACTTTTAATCAAAATCTCACCTCCTTCAAAAGGTCCTGAGATTGGTATTCATGTAGTGTGAGCCGCCGGAGCTGTTGCTTCGATACCAGCTAGGAGACAAGTCAGCGATATGTGTTGTTATGTGTGAAGACAGGATGCCTACATTTGTATTGCGCCGCCAAAATGTTACCATCAGGTTTCGAGATGCCATGTTGCAATGGTGCAATGAGACTGCAGATGAAATTTAACCTCAATCTCGAAAAGTCATTAATTCGATTTTAAACCGATCGAGACAACATTCAACAATAATTGACTGGTATGGAAGGTATGGCCGGTAGTAATCAGGTACGTCATCCAGACAAAGACGAGCTGGCGATGTTGTGGCTGGCTAGGTAAGAGGGGGCAAATAGCCGAAGGATGTGCGTAGTCGGTTATATCGGCTATATCCCCTTCTCCAACATTAGGTGAAGCCGATATCAACGCCGCTGATTGAGCTGCGACTGATTACTCGTAAACTCCAACTCAAGATGATAATGGTATAATTGCTCACCTTGAACTTGAAACTTATAACCAATATATCAAAATTTATGGGCTCAATATACCTAGTGACGACAGAAGCGCAACCTAAGATACCTGGGGTTTGAGCACTTCCACAGAACTTACGGATATGGGCTTAGTCTCTTCATCATCTCCCTTGCAAGGATGCTGGTCCGAGCCAATCAACCTCCATGATGATTTGTCTGTGGACATAATGAGATACCTTAAGTAGTTGGGCGCGATAGCCGCGCTGGGTTTCACTTTCAACCCCTCTTTCCAGCTAGGCAGTTGGGCAGATTTTCACGGGGCAGATTATCAGCTTCATTTCTGCCTGATTCCGGCGATTCACCTGGGTTATGATTCTACAGGGTGCTCTCAGTAGGCAAAGTCAACACCAGATTATGATATTATCCGAAACCTTTCAAGCGACCACAGCCTATCGAAGTTGCATTGCTCAGGAGATGTTCCATCACAAAATTAAAGTGAATGAGCCGCCCCCTGGTGTGACTAAATGGGATCTTTTGTGTGCCTGTGAGAAAAGACGCAAATGGCATAAAGAAGTTACATACGCACATATCAGACATTCTGCCAGAAACTTGTGCGACCTCTGCGGCATTTTTTTTAAACACGTGGTCGAGGCGGTTGTTGATGGGCATCTTTCTTCATTGTTCCACGGAGCACGAAATGAGACAGAAAGAGATCAAGTCCTTGACGAAGTGGTCATAGGAAGCATGGGCCTCATAACAGCGAATACCGAGGAGAGCATGGATCTGTTCATCAAAGGAAGCCGTGTTAGAGTCTCTCTCTTTGTAGACCCCGAAGAACAGTCTGACTTCAGAGTTTGGATTAATGGGTATGAAAAGTTCGGATTTCCCAAAGAGACCCGATTTGGCCCGTCGACAGACTCCGATAGGAGCTTTGCGAGGGCTCAACAATGGCTTCAGCCGCCGTCGACTCGAATTCGCCTTCCGCAGGCTAGACGAAGTCTTCCTGGTAGGGCAGGGAACAGAGGTTCCATCTAGCCTCCCGAAGGAGACGGGCGACTTTCTTTCCCGGCGCGTGGCGCTTCCGGGCCCAAATTGAACATCACCGACCGACTTTTCGACTTCGCTCTCTCAGCACCTTTGCCCCTTAAACGATCGAAGACTCCCTCGAAGAGACGAAACGACCATTGGGTAGCGATGTATAGCCGCGGCTATATACAGCTATGCTCGTTACAGAACCTAACAGCAAGCCCTACAACCTAGTCTTACGAGGTTTTGCCCCTTGTGGTTTCCCTTGTGGCGGTATTACCTATTACGATATACTCCGGACGGTTACTGGAACGTTGTGTAAACCAGAAGCCTGCGGGCTCTGGGTCGAAGGATAGGAGATACTGGCGGAATTGCGTTCTAGGGACGACCATAGCACTGTCTCGGGCAAGCCAGCGGCACCCAGAGACAGGTTAAACACATAGTTGCCTTTGGGCACGATTTGGAGGACGAGCTGGACTGTATCTAGTGATAGCTATAGGCCTACGGCCCTCCACGCCATATACCCTTCGGGAGGTCTGCCGCAAGGGCGGCTGCGCCCTTGCCGCTACGGCGTTAAAATACAACAACAACAACAACAACAACAACAACAACAACAACAACAACAACAACAACAACAACAACAACAACAACAACAACAACAACAACAACAATGGCTTCGGCAGTGTCTGGACCACCACGATTGCGGAAAGTCTCGTGGCTCGTTTCAACTACGTAGGCTGCTCAATCTTCACGGCAACCGAGTCCGACTCATCGAGACTGCTGAGGCTAGTGACTTTCAATGGCCATACGTCTGCCTCAGCCACCGTTGGGGCGACGCAAATATTGCACGATTGATAAGCACGACAGACAACATCCACAACCATATGGAAGGAATCAAATGGAGCAACATTCCAAAGATATTTCAAGATGATATCGTTATCTGTCGGCGTCTACACGTGGACTATCTGTGGATCGATACGCTATGCATCTTGCAAGACTTTCCTGGCATGTCGGACGAGAAAAAGCGGGTAACGAGTATGGATTTTGCAGCCGAGAACTCGGCCATGGCGCGCATCTATCAGAGCTCTTACTTTACCATCTATGGGAGCGTGTCAACAAGTATAGCCAGCGGCATTTTCTCACCCAAGCTTTACGGGAGTCATCAAATCAAGGTCAGAGATGTCAATGGCAACAAGTCGATTCTACGCATCAGAGAAACGACATCGCACTTCACATCACCGACAGATCTGGAGACAAGAGGCTGGACATTCCAGGAGTATCTTCTCCCTTCTTGAGTTCTAGAATTTGGGCCTTTCGATATCTCTTGGAAATGCAACGAAGGCTACCTCTGCGAATGTCAACATAATACTGGAGCTGCTCATCGGCGCGAGGAATTAGCTCTACGCTTAATGCCACCTCAGAATCCTGCAGATGCTGAAGAGTGATGGGCGGGCATACTGCGACAGTACACAATGAGACGCCTGGCAAATGAAGAGGACAAACTACCTGCTCTCTCTGGGTCAGCACAGCTCTACCACCAACTGGCACGCGATACGTACCTGGCGGGCCTCTGGAAAGCGTCTCTTCCCCATTGCCTGTGTTGGTACAACACTGCCCAAGCCGGCACGTACCTAATGAAACTTGGAATAGGTAGAAGACCTCGAACACCCCGTGCTCCTTCCTGGTCCTGGGCTTCGCTCGACATTGTAAACGACGCGCAGTGCCGCTTCTGGTGGCCACGAGAATCTCTTTCTACCAACCCCATCATGTATGAAGACGGCGCTACATCTCGGCCGGTGTGCACTGTACACGAAGCCATGTGCCAGCTAAAAACGGACGATGCATTTGGTGAGGTGGTAGGGGGCTCCATCGACCTCGGTGTGCTGCTCATTTCTGCGAGGATCGGCACCAAGTCACAGGGAGATGAAAGTTTCAGTACCGTAGGCGATGTAGCCTGGACATTGGATTATGTCGAGGATGGTACAGATGTTCACATATGTCTAGCCGACTGCAGCTTGGATGACGATGATCTGCAGATGGGAGATGAAGTGTTTTGCGCGCCCATCGTGGAAGCAATCTCGGAATCGGGGTCAGACAGGGGCTGTCTGGTACTGAAGTGCGTGCTGGGAGGGTCAGAATTCAGACGAATAGGTTTCTGCGTCTTGCGCAAGAAGAACCCAAGCTGGGATCGGGCGAACAGTCAACTCCCGATGGTTAGGCCATTGGGACACATTTACCCGGATTTGACGACTCCAGAGTATGCTGAAAAGGTTCAGAGTTATGCCCTGCTCTACAACTCAAGCGCAGAGCGCCGTATTAGAATCATTTGAGTTAGCTACCTGGGTTACATGCCGGTGACTCCGTGCTCTTGGATGCTTCAGCATTACGGCCCGCCTGTCTGTATTACAGTTTCTGTGAGAACTCATGTGTAGTTACCTTAGATAGCTCTACCACCATCGACTTCCAAGTTGACGCCAGTGATAAACTTGCTCTCGTCCGAAGCCAAGAATACAGAGGCATCTACCACATCTTCAATCTCACCCAATCGCCCCAAAGGAACGTTGCCAATGAAATTTTCTCGATTTTCCGGCGTGTCCTTCATACCAATGAAGGATTCGAATCTATGATTGTCAGCAAATTTGCAGACAACGGCTTAGAGGAAACTAGCTTACAAGCCAGTGCCAGTCAAAAGCGGGCAGATTGAATTCACGCGAATCTTATGGGCACCATACTCAGCCGCCAATCCCTTGGTTGCCTGGAGTGACATTAGCTAAGCGCCTTTCACTCAAATCAATCGCATTCTGCTTACATTGCAGACAGCTCCCTTGGAGGCATTGTACCACACAAGACCTGGCCGGGGACGCAGAGCTCCGATCGAGGAGATGTTCAGCATCACGCCTCCTTCCCCTTGCTTGATGACTCTAGGCATGAACGCCGCAGTTCCGAGGAAGATGCCCTTCACGTTGACGTTGAAGACCCTGTCGAATTCGCTCTCCGTCACCTCAACTGTGGGCTGTGGTCAGAAAGTAGTCAGCTTATTATTCTTCATGAGTCACAGCTGGGTTCCTAGAAAGACAATGAGCCCTTCCTACCTTGTTTCTGTAAGTCGTCCCGGCGTTGTTCACGAGACAATCGATTCGTCCGTAGCGCGACTGTGCAGCATCCATCAATTTTTCCCAGTCCTCGGCACTTGTGACGTCTGCCTTGAGGAACGAAATCGAATCGGGCGCGCTTTCCGCTACTCTTTGCCCATCGCTCTCGTTGATGTCGGTAATGAGGACTTTGGCTCCTTCTTGGGCGAATTTATTGGCAATGCCCTCACCAAAGCCATGTCCTCCGCCTGGAGATTGTCAGAAAGCCCGGCACTGTGATCTGTAGCAAGTGCTTTCTTACCGGTGATGATGACGACCTTGCCAGCTAGTCTCGATCCTGTGTTGCTGTTCCTCATATTGGCTGCTTCTTTCGCGCCAAGGTTCAAATGTCGATACAATTCCTGTTGCAATTTGTCAAGATCGTTAGTTGGCTTTGCTGAATACAAATTATTTTGTAATACGTCACGATTATAACCCCTCACTTGAATAACCGTAGAGGTTGTACAGCAAACAGCTTTTATACTGAGACCACCAACAAGTTCATTGCATCATAAGGAGGCGGGGAGGTGCGGGGGTTAGTGCGCCGGGCAACGAATTCCGTGTGCCGCCACGGCACGGTCCGGCGAAGTGCTTCACAGCTCGGTTATACAACTCATTCTGTATACGTTCAGTCTTTCTTTTTCGAGCCAGCTAACATCAGTAATGTGACGGGCGATTCGATAGGTGCACGTTGTCGTACTTGGATCTCGTTTGTGCAGCGTGCGACTGTTCGGCGCCCCTTCCATCTTTGATAGACATTGGTTCGCTCAGTCTCTCATGAGGGATCGTCCAAGGTATTTATGGTACGAATTTCAGCAGCGAATTTCAAGTGCAACATTTCATATTGGACCTCACAAATTGTAATGTCAGTTATGTTCACTTGTCTGTTGGCTCGCTCTTTTCGAATCATCTTGCCGCATTGTGTAGTGGTATCGCCACAAAATTTTCGGGGGCCGTCATGCACCGGTTCCTTGACGCCTGGGAATGGGGTTTCTGTGAGCACTTTCTTTAAGCAGCAGAAATGGTGACTGGACAATACCCTGGATCATGAGACAATCGTCGTGTCTAAGTTGCGTGGCTATCAGAATTTTCATACTTCCGACCACTTACAGAGAAAATAGACTTCACGGATCTGAGTTGGTTGAGCTGTGTTTCTTTTGGACTTTAAGCATTGATACATTAGAGAGTACCAAGACTTAACTGACGTTCAGACCGAGGCAGTAGAGATTTCTGGTGCTAGTATAGCCGGCTACAGAGCTCTAGTGAACAAGTTTGGATATACTAGGAAATTAAAATAGTATTCAAGAGCAAGATCCCCAAGACTCTATCCATAGTATCATTGCAGCAACCAAGATGCATGTGTCAAACTCAACGAGTCAGGTTTCCGAAACCCACTCTCGTTGTCACTTCCGAACCCAGCTTCCGGACGGGACGGGCGTGCAGGGAATTGCTGTTCGTCCTAACACACGCGCGTTCTAGAAAGGTTTTGCGCTGCCTCACTCAGTCTCCAAAGAAAATCGTGGGTCTCATCCCATGATCTCCAAAGTTTCATCTCCCCTGCCAACGAAACCACATCCACTGACTTCACGACACCCCGTCTCCCCACACGACTAACTCCAACCCCCATATACCCCGCATTGTCCTAGGCATTTGAAAAGATAAGCGGCTCCAGTTCGGGGAGTGCCCTGTTTATAAGTCCCGACTACAACAACCGTCCCGCCAATATACATCTGCGCGGGCCATCCGGTCTGCAGGGTGCTCCTTAGCTGAACTCTGTCCGAGGTGTGTTCGGCATCAGGTTTTGGGAGGGAAGAGAATACGGCAGATGTTAATCCCCCTTCTTGCGGGCGTATGGTCCCGCAGGCCCTGTTCGGAACCTGCTTAAGTACCGAGTCCGACTTATTCCTCGACTATAGATCAAGTTGTTTTACACTCAGGCTCTCGCCAATTCTTTAATCCCATTCACCAAGTACGATGGCTACTATTTCGCAAGCACCTGCGCTGGGGGTAAACCCAGGCATGACTCAAGGTCTGAAGACGTCGACCGAGCATGTCGAACATGTCGAACACGTAGAAGACAAAGCATCTACTGGCGAAAAGACAAGTTTGCTTGGGCTGAAAAACATCGAGACTGAAGCATATGTGGTGGATCAAGTGAACGCTGATTTCGAGCTGGTCCCAATTATTCTTGACGAGATTCGTCCAAATGAAGTTCTTGTTGAGATGAAGTACAGCGGAGTGTGTATGTCAATTTCGATAGTAACCTGATAACCACCTCATGTAACAGTCATTGACAGCATTACAGGCCACACCGATATAGTCACACAGCAGGGCGGCCTCCCCTTTGTTGAGTTTCCAGCAATTTTCGGTCACGAAGGAGCTGGTGTAGTCCGTGATATCGGAAGAGACGTCCAAATCAAAGACCTCGCCATTGGCGATGCAGTCCTCCTGTCCTTCAATCACTGCGGGTCATGCAAGACATGCACGAGCGGCCACTCTGCGCTCTGCCCAGACTCCTCAATGATCAACATCAACTCGGTGCGCGTGGGCGACCGCAGCACGCCAGCTCGGCTAGCTTCGGATGGCCGTGCTGTCCGCAGTCAATTTTTCGGGCAGTCCTCGTTCTGCAAGATGTCCGTCGTCAACGAGAGATCAGTAGTGAGGTGTCCGCCGTCGGCAGTCGAACACATGGGTGTATATGCCCCACTCGGATGCGGACTCCAGACCGGCGCCGGAACGGTCATGAACGTCGTCAAGCCAGGCAAAGAAGACTCCATTATCATTTTCGGACTCGGAAGTGTGGGTCTGGCGGCATTGATGGCGGCACGCTACCTCGAAACCGGGCAGATCATTGCGGTCGATATCGTGCCCGAACGCCTCGAGCTTGCAAAGGAGCTCGGAGCCACCCACACCATCAACTCGAGAGAAAGCAGCGATATTGTACAAGAAATCAAGAAGATGAGCAACGGGGGTCCAAATTTCGCTATAGAATGCACTGGAACCTTAAAGGTCATTGAAGACATGATTGCATGCATTGGCCCATTGGGTTTAGCCGTTCAGGTCGGGGTACCGCCTCCAGGAACCGCAATTAAGCTCGACCCGCAAGAGTTCCTGATTGGCAACAAGAGATATGTTGGCATCATTGAGGGAGACGCAGTTCCAGCCGAGTTCATTCCTCGACTTATCTCCATGCACCAAGAAGGCAGATTCCCCATCGACAGGTTGGCCGGGTTTTACCCAGCATCACAGTTGAACCATGCCATACAAGAAATGGCTGCCGGAAAGGTAAGTTGTTTAAGTATTCCCCCCATTCTTCCTTCAACTAACGAAACTCTCGAAGGTCATCAAGCCAGTGATTCAATGGAGCTAGGCCAACATTTACCGTGGCACGCGATTAGCTCAGGTAGCAGACAGAGCAAATGACACGGACTTAAAAGGCCTCGAACAAATGATCGACAGTACGGTACATAAACTTGGTATAGAGATTTCAAGTTGAAGTGGTTCTAGATTTGTTTTCACTTTTTCTTTCACTGGGTCCAGCGGTTAGCTGTCAACTATCATGAAAGCTCCAGGCCAGTTGGCTTGTCGATCCCAACTCCACTGATTCAAACCTTGGTGCGAAGCATGCCAAGTCATTGTGTGGGAAATTGATCCCATTCACGCACCGAAAACATTCATCTAACCAAACCCCGTTCGCAATCCCATTCGGTTCTGGCTAGCTTAAAAAGATCGCTGTGCCGTGCCTCAGTATTAGATCGTGAAGCGCCACGGAACGCCTAATGGTGCCACGGGAATTGGTCAGCCCCGTCGTCGGTAGATGGAGTTATACCGCAAGCGGCCCACGACATTTTGCGGCGCATTTCTCAAGCATCAACAAGATGTCTGCTTTCACGTGGCCTTTGGGAGTGTAGTTCCTGCTAACTGTGTCCACGGCGGCGGGATCGGTCCGGTCCCGTACCGGAGACGCCGTTTAACGACTGCCGGGAGCCAGAGTACCTATCTGTTTCTGTGAAATTTTGATCTCTCTTTCCGTGTCTGGCTTAATGAGTTCTCGGAAACATGTTGCGTATTGGAGGGCATCGATGGAACATAACAATTCTGCGAGACTACATGTATTATTAAAATCATGATGATTGATCAAGTAAACCCAAGCCCCCTTATCTAAGTCAGATTAGTGACAAACATCAATGTATAGCCACCAGTAGTACGGGTGCCGACTTGACCGTCATCGGTGGTGGTCGAGTGAAGTCTACATCGTCGGATCCCAAAAAGTTCAACTTCGCGATAGCCATGTTTGTTTTCTTCTTCATTTCGTCCCCGTAGATCCACAAATGCTTCGTCTTCTTCGTGCTCTTTCTGATGTATTCCTCCGCCTTCCTCTGAAGTATGGGTGCGGTCTGCAAAGGGGGAATCCAACTTTCTTCGTCCGCCGGGTCATGATGCAGACAAGCCGCCAGCACGATTGACTTGGGGGCGTCTTGTTTCCCAAAGTCTCCCACCAGCTCGTTCCATCTGTGAGCTGCAAGAGCAGAGGCTTTGATATTTGACGTAAAACCATGGGCAGCTTCCCATTTTGGCAGCCGACAGTGCAATCCCCATTGGTCTTGTTCGGCGTCCACATCCCACCCGCGACAGATGACAACCTTGCCGCGAACTTCCCCAAGTCGAGGCCATTTCTTTCCCGTATACAAGTCCTTATCTTTTTTCATATCCTTCTTGAACTCTCGGTTGAAGTGATCTGGCACCTCGTCGTACTCGATTCTGTAGCCCTCGGACCAGGGCTTTCCGGCCTCATACACCGCGGAAGCAGACGAGAAACTGAGCATGACCATGACAACCTCCCGATCATTATCTTCCAAGAAATTCTTGACATCATCGAGAACGTCATCGAGTTGCTTATCAAGAACCAGCGGCCCGTGTCGTAGCCTGCGTTCTTCGTCGCAGCGTAGGTCCAGCAAGCGGATGCCGCTTTTCAGCTGAGCTCGGATACTGTCCCTGTGACACTTACTCATGTCGAGAACCCGTGTTTTTAGCCCCTTGTCGCTGATCTCTGGCTCAACTTCGAGGTTCCCGACATCGTTGATCCAATAGATTGAGGCGCTGCTGCAACGAGTTCCAGGCAGTGTCAAATCTTTCAAGCACAGGTCGTCAGACAGATGCTTCATCCAAGAATCGGCTTGAAATTCGGGTCTGAAGCACATTAGGCTAGTTCAAGCGATGCCAAAATTCGAGAACATTGTACATACTTGGGTCTCATGACGCTTTGCTTCGTCCCAAAGTCGAAGCCAGCAGTTGAGGCCACGAAACTCGAATAACTATTGACGTTCAGCTGGAGTCACCGGGGCTTTCAACTCGGGTACTGTAGGCTCACTCGGTTGCTTTCATTTTCTCGTTATGATATTCAAACTTTCCTTCAATGATGACATAGTAGTCGTAGAGATGTGTACCGTAGGTAAAGTTCCAGGAGTTTCGTCTATTGGTTGAAATGGATAAGGTATCTCGTTTAATCCATCGCGCTCCTGGCAGAAGACTGGCAGATCCACCATCTGTAGCCCAAATCACAACGTGGTACTGAGGATGCTTTGCCTGCAAAGCCTGTAGCTCGAGCTGCAAAGGGTTTTGCGAGGTTGTTGGGGGTGCGACGGCCATGATGAATTCGAGTGTTCCACTTCAAAGACCAATCTAGAATGCTCTTGCAATTGAGGAATGAGCCATTGCTTGACCTTCGAGACAGAACTATATAGATTCTCTCATGCCTTCCATGCTTTCTTTGAATCTCTCACGTTACACTGGTCTGGCTGAGGAAAGAAAAAAGTCCGGGGTAAGACAAATTGCTGCCTGCATTCGTCTAGCTGAACCGAGTACGCCAAGAAGCCAGACCATTTTTCACTATGCGGCTGAACAGTAGTGAGACAAACGATTACCGAAGTCTTCTCCAGGCCGTTTCCGGTATAAATTACTCGTGGTTCCGGCAGATACGCACGCGAACAAGGACAAGATAATCAGTGTCCGGATGGCGGGGGTGCTGGCTTACGGCTATTTCTTTGGTACATACATTACTACAAAATAGAGACTGGGACTTTACCATGGGCTCGCAGCACCATTCTTATTCCACAACTTGCTTTCAAAATCTTCGTTGCGCTTGCTTGACATGGAAGACGCATACATTAGCCCCCCGTCTTCAGCGGGTGCCAGAACCTTGAACGACGCGACGGGAAGACGGCCTGACTTGGGCACAATTGTCACCTTTCAACGGATCGATAAACTGATTCCAGCGTCAACTACTGACAAAAGCATCAGTGCAGTGCCTGTCCCACTTTCGGGTAGCTGTGTGGGAACCATTGGTCTTGCCGTACTGTTGAAGAAATGCGGCATCGACGCCAACGCTGGAATGGACGATGTTTCCATGGCCACAATCAAAGAGGGCATGATTTCCATTGGTCTGGCCAAGCAGTTTGACATCTGGAGCTCCCCTTCCTCTAAGCTTCTTGACTATGATCTCACTCTCTTGGAGTACGTGTACCAGGTATCGAAACTGAAGAACGATCCCGAGTTGAATGTCAGAATTTACTATGGTCTGAAGAAGGATCACGACGAACAGACTATCCAGGATGTGTACAGATCTGGGAATTTTGTCATCAAGGTTTTACAGATGAGAAGAGAGAAATCTCAAGTTATTCAATCCCTCAGAGTAATGACGTCGCCCCCAGAGGACATGGATCCATGCAGCGGCATCCTTGGTATAGGCAGTCTAAGCTCTCAGATACTCGGGGACTTGAGAGACAAAATTACCGCAATGCAAGCTGTTCTCTCCTTTGTTCACTTCGAATGCCCATGTCTAACGCCCCATTCAAGGTCGAGGCTCGCCACCAAACACCAATTCTGTCTGCCCGATGAAACTCCTCTCTGTGACACGACGGCGTTCGAAGACTACGTCAATCTCCTAGTAAGCCCGTGTCAACTACTTTCGAATTTCTTGTACTGACAATAATCTTCAAGGACGAGACCTGTCCTTACGAGAATAGTGTACCATCGATCAAACTAAGGTTCAAAGACGCCTCATCATCTCTCATTGACGAAGACAAGTCGAAGCTAGCATTGGCAGCTTCAGGTGGCAATCAACAGGCCCAGAAAGTCGAGGTACGGAATTCTTTGAGTACGTCCGAAAACTAGTTGACTAACAGCTATTCAATTTTGTAGAACTCCAAGTAAGACCTAAGTGCTTCTCTTTGAATTGACTGCCTCGACTCCGAACTTGATTAATGTTTCTGACCGCAACGTCTAGTATCTCTCCGTCATCGTTAGATGAGATACAGTGGAGGCGGGTCATCAAGAACTGTCAAGTCATGCATGGCTGGTACATTGACCGAGCGAATAACGAAGCCAAGATGGCACCAAAGCCAGGTTTGTCCGTGATTTTCGACTTTTCTAGCTTCTGCTGACGACTTTCCAGCATTCCGTCTTCGGCCAGGTCTGAATCTAGAACTAGATAGTACGGAAGGAGCCGCTGCCGGAGACGCCATTCCCAACTACGGCGTGACTGACGGCACCCAAATTGACGTTGTCACCGCCGAGACCGATATTCGTAATTCACTGGTTCGCAACAATTTTGAAAAGTCTTCCATAGACAGCAAGATGGCCATTGGCTACGCGGGAATTGGTGTTAGCGTAGCCGCTACGTCTTCCACTGAGTCCCAGAGTGCGCAGTCGGCGGAGAACAAATCATCTACCAAGGAAAATATTGGTAAATACAAGGTGAGCAACAAGTTCTTGTGAAGTAGTTACGCATTGCTCACAACTTCCAAGCTTCCCCGGGTCACTCTGTTCCTTAACGCAGATGACCTCGTTCCGACCAAAGAATTCATAGAGAACATTGAAAAGATCAAAAAGCAAGCAGACGCAACAGACATCCGCAAATTCCACGAAAGATTCGGTGTGTTAGGGCCCAATGACTCCTTCTCTTACACAGTCTAACTGACTCCCCACAGGAAAATTCTTCTGTCATCAGGTGGTTCTTGGGGGAATGTTGCTTTCGACAAAGACTCTGATTGGGAATGAAACGGTTGAGGAGGAAAAGCAGAGATGTGATTTCAAGCGGGCCATCGGAATGTCAATATCCTCGGTAAACATTCCTTGTGCGATTATTTTTATGCCAAATACTATTGGAGACTGACAACGTACTACAGCCAGTGGAAGTTGTCATTGGGGCAGACTCGAAGAGGGAAAACACCTCAGGTGCCAACCAAAACGCGAACCGTAGCTACAGGGATAACAGCGACAGTGTTGTATTCGAGGCTGTAGGCGGGAATACCATTCTAGCTTCGAAGTACGGGACCCTGCCCTTGAACGCCCCATCACAAATCTAACGTTGCTACAGTCCTGCACAGTGGTGCGCAACCGTTGGAGACCACAACAACTGGAGAGTTATTGGGGTACGAAGTCTTTCCCTTAGTAGCATCCGATTCATCTTCTACAAGGCTAATTCATCGCAGAGAGCGGATATGAAGCCGATTCTCGAGTCGTTGGCGGAATGCGGAGAGCCTCGATGCGATGATGCTGCCAAAGTGTTCGCTGAGGCATCTCAGGTTCCCGTCACGAAATTCATCGACATCCCAAAGTCTACCAAGATCATTGCGCAGTTTCGGTTCAAGAGAAGATCTACAAACGAGGACAGGACGCACTATCTTCGTCATAACATCCACACCCTCATTACACCCACATCGACGACCGAGCGAAGGAATATGCCAGAGAAGTAATGTGCCGTAACACATGTTGCTTTTGAGTCATTTACTAAGATGAATACCCTTGTAAGATTCCAGGGACCTCGAGTTGAACCCTATGACCATACATGGAAAGACGAAGATGGCATATGGACCATAGCTCCAATTTTGGACGCGAGAGCAGCTTGTCAAGGCCTAACGCAACTCGTCGACGGCTCTATGGTCACCATTCGCTCTGGGGGGGATTCGCAAACCCCGTGGTTTCTCTCCGTCCTCCGGACTTCGGCAGGGATCTTTGTTCCCTGCATCACGACTTCGGAGCAATTCATATGGAGGATTCGAGAGGTTCTCCGGCCCAACTCGACCAAGAGCACCATTCCTAGACAATCATCTTTCAAACCGCTCAGGCATGACGCACGCCTGTGCTTGACCTTTGAGTTTGCCGATAACCCCCGAGGCTATCGAGACTTCAAAGACGACGACCGCGGCTTCCGCAATGTAGAGTATCCGGACAGTGACACCGGTCGATTGTTCCTTGTTGAATCCACAAAAAGGTCAGACACCTGGCCGGACCGCAGAGTGCTTCTTCTTGCAGACGGAAGCGTCTTTAGGTCTGAATCTTGTGCCAGAATCATGGACCTGGATGACGCCGAGATCTCTGTGAGAATTGCGCACTTCAACATCGACGTCCGTGGTAAGTCATCGCCCGTGTTATTGTGTCTCCTCAACCGGATTTCTGACTTGCGCGTGTTTACTTGCGCGGCATAGACTCAACGGATGATGCCTATGATATCCTGCAAAAAGACGGTAATTCCATCGTGGCGAGGCACGAGGAGCAGCAAAAGAAGTTGAAGACTGGGGATCAGGGGGCCTCAGCGTAAAACACATTGTGTCTACTCACATTGGCTGAATGCGTATGGTTCAGACGGTGGATCAATCTAGGTCTACTTAACGTAACTAGATACTGTGTAGAGAGAAAGAATGCATGCCTTGTGAGTTTGTTAAGACTTCACGTCGGCCTCCGTGGTGCTTGTTACAAGGTATGAGTGAAACCTGGCATGAATCATATTAAATTCGAGTAGGACTTCTTCGATCCCTTCTTCATGCAATAAAAGCAACCTGTGCCAAAATCACCTAAGCCCTCGAAGTTTCCTCCAGGCCATTCCATATCTTGCTTTTTCGTTCGCATGCTACAGTCCGGGCCACTGGAAATAACATCAGCCTTGGTTTAAACTCATGGGAGATGAAGCTCAAGACAGTCGGAAACTTACAAGAAGAACTTGCACGTGGCATCTTCGCCTGGCCGAGCAGACTTGACTTGTCTCCCCCAGTCCCAGCTTGGGTACGTCTCCAGGCCGTCCCGGAAACAGGCCCACCAACAGTCGCCTTTCCAGTCCTTTTCGGTACAGAGATGAACAGAGATGCAAGGCTCATCCTCTCTCTTTTCTTTCGCTGCCTCGAAGGGGGTTTTATGGGTCTCATCTCTCGGGGTTTTGGAGACGTATGTGGTCGGCGATGGGGGAAGGAGATTGTTCCAGTGTTCTTTTTCAAGTAGAGAAGCCAGCGTAGGATTGACCATAGTCGACTTAGAGGAATCAGCTACAGCGACCATGCAATTCAGGACAATGGCGTAGATGGATAGCTTGAGAGCCAACATCGTGTTGACCGTGAGTTGTCCAAACGAGTGGCTTGGGATCTCTCGGTGCAGAATCAAGATGATATTTTTCCACCGGAACCACAGTCTTATTTCATTCGGTTTTAAAAATCGACTCAAGCGTCTATCGCATCACATCTTTCATGATTGTTGTCTTTGACAGTAGCTATAAAAAAGCATCCCTCGTTATCACAAAGCGCAGTTATGACACAAAGAGACGAGGTAGCCTGGCAGTCCCTTAGAGTTACGCATGGCTTCGGGGATGGCAAACTTAGCATCAGGGATGCCTCTGACTTTAAAGGCATCGCTCCACGGGCTGCAAGGGAGATTTCGACGATGTCGAATCCGGACAGTAATGCCTAATGCGGTGTAGACATCATAGCTTTGAGAAGCAGTGAGCAGATCCTCCTCCCTGCTGGGCTTCTCTCTCCGCAGCAATGAAAAGAGTGATTGAGCAAACTTGGAAGCGAGACGCCAGCGTTTCTCTAGCCAATTTCTTCAATTGCCGACCGGGCTAACAAGATCTCTCTGAGATACATTCTCGGACCGTTAGTTTGTGAGGCAGTCAACTTCAAACGTTGCACTTTCGCATTCCTCCGAGGCTTACTCCTCAAAATAGCCTCATCTGAGACCATCACTCTTGCCAGACCATCAACACAATCCGATGACCCTCCATCATGGACTCCTGTCTCAAAGAAAACCTACAGATACGAGATGTTCCCCAATCCCTAGGTCTCAAATGGAATATCTCTTGGGTCATTCCCATGTAAACTCAGCCAAACCGGACTCGAGCCGTGCCACCACCTCCAAGTCAGCCATCAAGCCACCACGATTCAAGCCCTCGATGCAAGCTCACGATACTCTGATAGGACGCCTCTCTCTCTCTCTCACTCAAACTGTGATGATTGGTCGCGAAGTTTCAGCTCCTTGAGCTAAGCCTCCTCCACACAACGCTCGTCATACCCCAATTCTCATAGACAAAGTGAGTGCCTCGCGGAGACTTTTTTTAATAGAAGTCGTGTGATGAAATAGGCTTGTTGAGTTACGCCATGCAATTGGTTGATATTTCTATATCGCTTCTCAAGTTAAGCTTACATGACTACTAGCTCAAGTAGCCTGTTTCTATGAGATGAGGGGTTAGAAGAGCCGGCTGTAGGGCTGACGGGGCATTACCCGAAGGCTGAGATGTGGAAAGCCAAGTCGGGCTGTGTCAGTTTACGAGAAGATGTCGGTGAGAAGGTTGTAAGGCGACATCTTGTGAGGGGTCTGAATTCAGAGTCCCAGGCCACGTTATGTGAGATTTCGAAGAGCTGGGGGAAAGCCACGATACTTACGAGTTTGCCTCATACCTGTCGGCCGCAGTGACTGTTAAGATGAAGGGTCTCATAGGATTCCTCATCGTGTGAAAGGAAACTATGAATTATTTAAAGGGCTTCCAATCTTCCTCGATGGATATCCGCTCTCATCATCACCATCAAACAATCAGATCCAACAGTCATCAACCCCCATCCAACAGCAACCCCCAATCCACTCTACCCCTCCATCAAAATGTTCCCCAAAACAGTCCTCGCCCTCCTCCTAACCCTCACCTCCGCCCTCGCCTCCCCCCTCTCAACCCGCCAAGCATCAACCTACTTCACCCCCTCAGCAACCTACACCTACAACACCCGCACCGGCTCCATCTCCCCCACCTACGGCACCGGCGTCGTCTCCAAATCCACCTCCAACGCAGGCAACGACCTCACCGCCCTCCTGACCTTCACCTACCCGCCCGCCGCCGCCGGCAAAAAGTGCCAGTTCTACTTCTACCTCGACGCCGCCACCTCCAGCGTCTCGGGCAGCCGCAAGCTCGACGTCTTCACCTCCCTGAAGCCCGCGCCCGCGGCTGGGTCGCCCGGCTGGGGCGCCGGAGGGCCGGGGAACCAGAGGAATGTGAATATCGGGCGGTTGTCTGTTGTTTCGGGCGGGTATGCCACGTGGGATGCTACGTACGGGGCGTACTTGACCGCGCCGACGGATTGCAAGGCCCCTGGCACCGTGGAGGGATTTGAGCTTGTTGGTGTAAATGATAATGACTATGTTTCGTGGAACACGCAGGTTTCTGGGGCTCGGATTGCTTACTTCTGAGCCACTGTCTTTTAAGGAGTGAGGTGAGGAACGGGGGGTGGGGGGCAACGTATTCGATTCTTCTTCGCTCATTTGGCCTTCTTGTCACATTATTGATACTTGTTGGAGATGACTTGGTCTAGGCTTGCGTTGTAGAGAAGGGCGTCAGCCATGCTTTCCATTACACTCCTTATGGCATATCATATTATTCACCGCTGAAATTTCGCTCAAACCCTTTATTTGGTTAACACGATGCTTTTCCTGCAGTTCCTCAACCGTGTTTCTCAGCCCCAACATCTACTCGGAGCCATTCGCGATGAATCCCACGCACAATGCAGCGTACTCGAACTTTTCCATTACCGTGCATGAAGTCCCAGATCTACATGTCCAGACTAGGGTCATAGTCTCTGGCCCCCTTACTCATACCTAGTACTCCTTTCGTCTGACGACATCATATCCCCCACGCGTTCGCCATGGCCTTGAGAATCTTGCAATCCCCCTTGTGCTTCTTCCAGTCCTCCTTCTGGCAGTCCTATATTGTCAATCATCGTCAGCACATCCGCACTCCCAACATCGCGTTCGGCAACCCATAAGTAAGAGAGGTGGGAAACCACGCAAGAACGCAAAACTCACCTTGCCACAATACCTCGCAACAACACAAGCGGTACAACTCTTCAACGTCCCCCCCTCCCCACCATCAACCTCCCCAACCCCCTTCCCACACCCAGCACAACTCCTCAACCACCGTCCCCCATCCTCCCTCACCCTTGCCCCCAGCTCCCCAATCTGCTCCAGCCCGCCAGGGATATACTTCACCCCCGTCCCCTTCCCCTCCGGCACCCTCACAAACCCCCTCTTCCCGCCCTTGGGCGCAGTCCTCACCCCGCGCGGCACAACAATCGTCCACCCGCCCTTGACAGGCCGCAAATCGATCCCGCGGTCCTCAAAGGTGACGGCGAACTCCGTCTGCTGACGATCGACGACCACGAGCGTGGGCTTGGTGATGGTCATGTTTTGTTTGACTTGTGCTATCAGGAACCATTCTTCGCGGGCGTCGTGGGCGGAGGGGGATGGTCTCGTGACTGCCGCCGTCGATGGGGATGCCGAAGAGGATGCGGAGGCTTTGGCGGAACCGGAGCCCGATTGGGAGTCCGTGTAGGATGGCGGGTCGGAAGGGGCCGGCGCGGGCGGCGCGTAGGAGGGCGGTTCCGAGGATGCGGCGTAGGAGGGTGGATCGGCGGCGCCGGGTTCCTCGATGGGGAGGCCCTCGAAGATTGGGAAGATTGCCTCGTTGGCAAAGTCCGGGATCGGCATGATTGCGGGGGCACTTCTATCCTTTTCCGCAGGGATTATGACAGGAAAAATGAGACCGAGTAAAAGGCGAGGAAATAGAATGCCCAATCAATGTGAGGAGGTAAGGCCGGAATGAGCTAATCTTGGAAAATGTAGTCAATAACGGATTGTGAGTTTCAGTGAGAGGTTGGATGAGTGAGTGTGAGAGTGAACGATTGATTGGTGGGGGTGTGAGATTGATTGCACAGAAAGAGGGATCGTCCATGAGTCTCTTCGGCGATGTGATTGGCCGAGTCCATCTCAGGCGGAGAAACTCCAAACACCAAATCGCGAAACGCACACCACCCGTAGAGCCCGTAGAGAATGACCAACCGGAGAAACGTCGGCCAGAACGACCGAGGGGACTTGGCATTGTCCCCAAAACCTTCTCGAACGTCTAGGCGACCGTTATGCCATGGCTACTTTTGCTGAAACGGCTGCCGCTGCAGGACAGGACGACAGCTTTCGAGATGACGTAGACTGTAACGTCCGGTCCGAGGGGAGGAAAGCCGTCCGATATGCTTAACCGTGTGAAGCAGCACCCAGAGTTTGCGAGTGCAGATGACAGGTCCCGCATCTGAGCCCAGCAAGGGCCTCAACGTCGGATGAGATGGCGTCATGGCGTTGGTGGACTTCTATGCGGTCAGTTTCAGCCTGTGCCCGATATGGCTGGCCTGCTCTGGGCAAGAAGAAATAGGCACTGCGCGCGCGATTTTCCATCATCATCGTTTTGGCAAAGTGTCTATTCCAGGAACCTATGTGTGTCGTAGTATAGCTACATTATAAACTATAGTGACCCCTCACTATCGTGAGCTATCCAGTGCCCATTACTACCGCAGGGGAGTGTGAAGAATGGAACCAAATCCAACAACCGCATTGCCCAATGCTCATTTTGGAGCCAATGTACAATAGTCAACGCCAAGTAAATACAATCCTAGGCCGTCCCTGGCCACGACGCCGGTATATCCCTATTGCGAGCATGACTCGCCAGCAGGACCGTGGTGCTGCTACATGTCAAGAAAATGACGCAGAAAATTCAAGTCGTTATGTTGCGCTCGTCAACCCATTTACGCTCCGAAACTCATCCAGCCAAATGTGCCGGCCGCACATCCTAGAACCAAGAAGGTCAGGATGCCAGCGCCGGCCTTATCTGCCGTTGTGACTGGCGTTTCTTTGCCGAGCAGATTGTCCGAGTGACTGCCGGCGTTGGGGTCTCCCTTAGAGATACCACCAGTGGTGTTTGTTGCTGGTGCCTTGACATTGCCAATGAGCAGAGATGATATGGCGCCGAGCACGTTCATCTGCTGACCAGCTCCCTTGGTGCCGTCGTACACGCCAGAGCTCCATTTGAAGCCGCACGTCCGTTGGTTGTCCTGCCCTGTGCACTGCTTGATGGCCGCATCCGCAGACGTTTTGAGAACCGGGAGAATTTTGTCGGCAGTGTATGGTGCAATCTGTGTTGTGACCGACATCCATCGAGCGACGTAGCCCTTGAAACTCAGCATGTCGGTTGTGCAGGTGTTGTGCTCCTCGCAAGCAATCTCGAATGCAATGTTGTTAGGGAAGAAATTTTTCAAAGTTCCCTCGATAAGGCCATCCAATCGTGTCTTCCACGCCTCGGCGCCGTCCGTCTGGGTACATGTTAATATCAAGCTCATCTAGGTTTACCAAGTAGAAGCCACTTACGTAATTGTACATCATGGCAGCACCAAGGATAAAGACGCCGTTGTTGTATGAGAACTGAGCCTTGTTGATATCGGTACAGTTCTGTTCGACGTGGCCACCATCGTAAATGTTGTAATCGGCATCGATGAAACCGACGGATGTCATCCAGTCCCAAGTCTTCTCGGCCCAGTTGGCGTATGTCTCATTCTTGGTGTACCGGGCCAGTCTGGCACCAATGTTGAAGAAGCAGCCGTTTGCAATACCTATATTCAGTCAGCGCTACGTTCGAAGGCGGGCGTGAGTGTCAGTATTACTGTTCTTGTAGTTGTATCCGTTGTTGGAGAGAGGAATCTGCCAACGGAGACCACCCCCGCAAGTGTTGTCGTGTCTGTCGGGACTGGCCATGGTGTTGAAGACGGCTTGGGCGAGGGCCAACCATTGGGCCTCATCCTCAGGCGGGTTAGGGAAGCCGTCTTCGGCGGCAGTCATGGCAGACATGCCCCAGAATCCTTGATCGTCGTTACCCAGCGATGCGGTGTAGTTAGGAGGCATGTAATCGCGGTCAGGTCCGACCTGGTGCAGCATGGCCTGCATGACAACGTCGTTGTAGGTAGAATCGCCAGTCAAGTGCCAGTAATCGATCATAGTTCCCCACATGGCACCAGCTTCCCACCAGTAGTAATCACCCGCTGGCGGAGGACCAGGCAGGATACCGGGCGTATGGCCAGTCAAGTTGCCATCGTAGAAGCTCATGAGGTCGTAGGCGAGACCTTTTGTGGTGGCTTTGATGTCATCTGGGCACGGCGTTAGTACGACGGTAGACCGAGGCCTGTCGAAGGCTCGAGTTGAGGGATGAATGTACCGTCGGAAGCGATGGAGTATGCGGCGCTGGCGAAACCACTCGAGACGAGGAGCGCTGTCGCAGCGCGGGCGACGGTAGAGAATTTCATGGTGATTATCGTCGAGCGACGTTTGCGTTGATTTGAAGCGAGTGACTGGTTAAGACGGGAGAAAAGTGACGGGAGATTGAGAATGAAAGTCAATTCCCTCAGTGCGGCGCGATCGGACTAGGATCGTGTCATGCGAGTATTTCGAAGTAAGTCGAACGAGAACAATGGGCGAAGAGTCGTGGAAGTACCAGCCGTCGGATATCGCTGCTGGATGTCGTCGGTGTGGGTTTCTGAGAACAGGCAAAACTAGGGTTGGAGGAGAAAGGAAAGGAGATGAACAGGGACGTTGAGGGAGAGGGAAGACGAGGAGGGAGGGCCGGGAAAGAAGGAGTGACAGCGAAGGGGTGTGGTGTGGTGTACACTACCACCTAAGGTAAGGTGAGTGACTAGGTACTAAAAGTCAGGTAGCTGGGACGCCGGGCGGGTGCAAGTGCGAGAAATGGAAAGAGGATGCCGGGATGGTGGCTGTACCGGGGACATGGAGGACGGGCAGTTATGTAGTATGTGATGGTGGGCAAGGGTCGCGTCAAGTTACGGTACATTTACATTATTCTACATGCCTGGGGAGTTAGTAGGAAGGAGAAAGCGGCATCGTAAGGTAGGGCAGCGGGAATAAATCGGCAGCGCCAACTCAGGTTCTCGCTGTCGCAGGAATGCGGATTGGAAAACAATGACCAACGCCTTTCCTCGTCCACCGATCGTCGAGCGTTGGCTGGTGGCTGCGCCGGCAATGTGACGTCTATGAAGTGTTGTATGCTCGTACGGATATTCGTCCGGATACTCGTGTGCCAATGCATCCGACAGCGATACCATAGGATTCGTAGCCTCAGTTCCTGTGCTTCCGCGACGGCTTTTCGTGCAGTGCCCAGGCGCGCCAAGTCGCCAGCGTGGAAAACAAGCAAATTCCAAAGTTTCTCAGCGTCTTGTCCCGTGGTCTTGGCGATCCAGGGACAGGGCCCGAATGCCAAGAGACTGGGGGCATCCGTATGGTAGAGCACTTACGGCGCAACGCTGCCGCACTGCGTCAAGGCCTAATCCAATCTGTCTTGGCCGCGTAGTGTGTTCATCGTTCATGGTGATTACTCCCTGTGTAAGTCAGTGGGTATTGTTGAGGCATTATGGCACATTTTGGACAGGAGTTCTCCGTATCTACTCTTTTTTGGCTCTTCCTCGTATCCATACGATGCTTGACAAGTACCGGTACTTCCAGCAAAATGGACGGCGTTGTGAGAGGGAGCAGTGGCGCGCCGCCAACTTCCCTCCATGGCAGGACAACAAGCCCAAGGGGGAAAACCCCTGATTCGAGGTCACGAGTATAGTCACATGATTTGTCTTTCAACCAATTGATGTAACAGTTGAAGGGTGGAGTACGCGGCCTTCCCTGTTTGGCCCCCCTTTTCCTGAATGATGAATTGCGGGCCTCGCCTGGTCCTGAGGAGGTCATAGGCGGGTGGAAATAGAGTGCCTTTTTTGAGTTGCTGCGGTCTCCGTCATTGCCGTCCAGTCCCATCCATGGTCCAGACAAACTGTGCTACCTACTTTTATTCAATTCTCCCCAGGCTCTCACACACTGCAGCGCTTACAACAGAACGGCGTCGCCCCTCGAGTTCCCATCTCCCAATTAACGAATGGTCACAACCAATCCTTCTCGGGAACACAAAACGACCACAAACACATCCATCCCTCCAGCCGCCAAGGCATTCAATCCAAAGAACAAGCTTTTCGTCACCCAGATCGTTTTCTCCTCGGGTCCTTGGCTCTGCTAGCTCCCTTGCTGCCCAGCACCGCCCCCCCCTCGTGTCGCCCATGTCCAAATGGCAAATGGCCGCCCTCCCGCGATCTACGCGCCTGGGCATTCCCTTGGCAAGAGATTGCAGAACACGGCGCTGGGGCCATCCAATGTGCCCTTCAGGCCCCTTCCTCCTAGCTGTTCGGGGCCTCTTGACCAATGTTCAAGGGAAAAGTTTGCTCGTTGCAACTTGACGACTCGTGCTTCGGTCCATGCACACTTCTAGAATGCTCAAATTCCATCTGAGATGTGTTTCCCTTGCTGCCCTGCATGCTGCGAACCTCGGACGGCGGCAAGCACAGAGGGGAACGAAGCCGTCATCTGCGCGCACCGACAGCGTGGCTCTGCTGACGCTAAACATGCGATGCTTTTGCAGGCGAAAAGGGGCTGGCTGGCTGGCTACCTCCCCCTGGCTGACTGACCTCACCTCATCAAGCTGATCGTCTTCAGCAATGGCTTGTGCCTTTGATACCTGGTCTTAACAAAATGACAATCAGCATGGAACATCTCTTTGCCAAGCCGAACCGGCTTCGACGAACGCCCAGTAGGGCTGAACCAGTCTACCTATCCCAATCAACTCGAGATCTCCCAGTCGCCAAGACTGAGCTACTATGCGCCCTCCCGCTGCTCAAAAAGTCTTGGAGTCTTGGACGTCCTGTCACCTGTGGCATTCCACTGAGGAAGAGCCCGACACGGGCCTCTTGTGACAACGTCAAATCTTCGATTTGGGTCAACCGAAATCGACTCTGCACCGCCCCTCCGCACTCCACTACGAATCGGCAGCACTCTTCCGTCCCCAGAGACCCTTTGTGAAAGCTCCCCGCGGAGACAATAACTGGAACGAGAGAGGACTTTGGGACCCATTCCCTGTGAATGTAACTCTGTGACGAACCTGTTATCCAGAGGGCAACCCACCTTGCCATATTCTGGCTTCGAGGTGTGGTTGGGATAATTTGCATTCACATCTGCGATTTCGACTGCATCAAGGCTCTCGGCCCCAAGACTTGGGAAAGAAAACAGTCAACGAGCCTGGACAGCCCATTATTGACAAGCGGGAAGCACAAGCTCTGGGGCTTGGGTGTGGGCCTGCACGCTCTATGGTGCGCTATTTTCTAGGCAGTTTTCAACCAATAACAAGCCTTGTTGGCTAAGTGGTATAGCGTCTCACTAGTACTAGTGGCATGAGAAGATCGGCGGTTCGATTCCGCCACGAGGCATTCCTTTTGGACGGACTTTGGACGCAGCCCCGTCCGTCTTTTTTGCGTCTTCGAAAAACGGCGTATGTGATTTATAGGTCTGTATTTATTTCACGATACATACATACACGTTTCTATTTACATTCTGAAGCTTTCGCGGGAGTAACAACTCTCTAGCACTTCATGTAGAGTGGACTTTGATGTTGCGTAGAGGGGAGGAGGGTTGCGTACCAGATACCTAGAGACCTATGCGTCGCACTGAACGAAACTCAAAGCAATGTGCTATCAACGACACCTACCTCACTCGCCCCGGAACAACTCGCGCACAAAAAGAACGCCATAAGTATTACTGTACACCACTGCTTGAGACGACTCCTGCTCAAAGTCCCTGCGTGGCTGCCCTCGAATCCCCTCGAACATGATCACCCTTAAGTCGTCATCCCCTCGTTCTCCTTCCCCTCCTCCTCGCCTCCAATCTTCGTCTTGATCATCTCATACAAGATATCCGTCCTCATCGTATACTTCGTCCCCTTAACAACATCATCACCAGAGTGATAGAGCCGGCTGTGCTGAAAGATGAGCACCCGGCCCGCCTTGGGATCAACATCAACCTTCCTCTTCTCATCCCCCGACAGAAACGACGTCGCGCCACCAACCAAATCAGCACCGCTATCCTTGCCCGCCTCAGCAACAGAGCCATTGAGGTAAAGATGGACGGTATAATGCGTCCGGAACACAGTTCCATCCTCGGCTTCTTCCCCATAAGGCCCGTCGCAATGCGCTACATCATCAAAGTCAGCAAACGCGATACTATGCCAAAGCAGGGGAGGGGACGATAACTCACGTCTAAAAAACTGCCCCTTTTGATACTTCAAAAACCTCATCCGCTTATTAAACCTCTTAAACACCCACCTCGTCTCAAACCCCCTCTCCGGCCTCCTCACCCCTTCCATCCCAGCCAGCTGCGCCTCCAGCCCCGGCGCAAGCCTACACCGACCCCACAACCGATCAACAACCTCCTGCTGGTCCCAGATAATCCGGTCGCTATTCCGGTACTCGGGCTCCAAAATCTCCCACCCGGGGCCCATATTCACCATGGCCGGCCGCCACGGCTCGTCCTTGTCCGGGTCCGGGCCGCGGTCTGTGGCGGAGGCCTCGGCCATGCGGAGGAGTTGGGCGCATTCGGCGGGGGTGAGGACGTTGTCTAGGATGACGGCGTAGAGGGGCCCGTTTTCGGGGAGGGCGGTTTTGGACCAGTCTAGTTTTTGGAGGGTTACGGCGGGTGCGGAAGGCGGGAGGGGACAGGAGAGGAAGTCGGAGGGGATGGGGACTTGGTTGGAGGTGTAGGATGTTTGCTGGGGTTTGGGGGCGCGTTTGGGGGGTTTGGGCTTGAGGGCCGCGGGGATGAGGTCTGAGATGGGCATTGTGTGGGATTTCTTTTCTTGATAGGGGGAACTTGGTTTCCTTGCTAGTACTCCTTTGAGCTGGTTCTGGAAAGTTTGGTTGTGGTGGTTGATGTTGGTGGGTATTGATGCGTGGTTGCTGTTGTGATCTGCTGTCAAGGTATCAGCGCTGTTTGATGTCAATGGTTGCTTGATGTGTGTGGGTTCGGCCAACTACTTGAAGCATAAGAAGCAAAAGAAGACACAGGCTCCACCTCCTTTCTCTAGAAGACACTTCAGCAGGTATTTACAAAAGAACAGAAATGTGACTGCCTAACAAAACAGCGTCAAGGCGCAAGCTTGGCTTCGCCTCGTAAGTTGGCGAGTCGACGGGACTAACAATGGGGCGGTGTATGGATTGGCCTCAGGTGAATAGACTTGAGGTGTGTAGTAAGCACTTGTCCCCGTCAAACTAAAACACACCAGGCTGCTTTGATTCGGGAAATGCAGTGTTAGAAAAACGTGTCTTCCAATCCTCAACTTGGTCTCAGAAAAATGGCTTGACGTCTGCCTTGTAGACTCATGAATTGAGACGAAGACTACTGAAGCGTGGATGCCTGCGACGGATGTAAGTGCCTAGTGCGGGGTCTATCTCACGGAGCTGATTGGTTCTGTGCCGATTAACCTGATCGACTTTTGTCCCCTTCAGGTTTTCAAGGGTCTTGAAAAGACCCCAAAGTCACACTCTGCAATCTTGCTCGTGGAAACCTATATATTGCATCTTTTTTAACGAGGTGATCTTCTCTTTACCTTGAATGGGCAGGAAAGTCTATTGACGGGCTGAGCTGGCATCTGGGCGGGACTGCTTCGGACGCCTACGGGCATGGACTTGGCTGTGCTGTGGTGGCGAGGTGCCTAATCTTGTCGGGGGAAAAGGCTTCTTCCATTTGGGCATCGTCTGTCGAGCACGAGCGATCATCGTTAACGTATTCGTGAACGAATCGTTTGAACGGGACAAGTAGCTATGAACAACCATGAGTATTCATTATTGACGTATTCGTGAACAAATCGCATAAATTGGACGAGTAGCTATAAACGACAAAAGGCATAGCTGTGCAAACAAAAGTAGCCGAGTTCTTGTGTGAACTTATGGTAAACTTGAGGTATCTTAACCTAAGGTACTTTAGGTGTGTCAAAATGTCCGCTTCTCATCCCGTTTCAACGACCTTTACTTAGCTCAAGACTGATCGTGTCATTTCGCAGTGGAGTGAGAACGCACCTCATCTTATAGTGTTCATCAGCTCTTAGGTCGATAAGATGCTACCAACGTTGAAAAGGAGACTTCGGTGGTGCCATGAAGAAGGCGTTCTCTAGCGTTTTAAGAATACACCTCGTTCAAGATTGTTTGTCCTCTCTGAGGTCGATAACCTCTCGAAGAGCATTGCTTGGAAACTTCCATGGTGTAATGTACGCCGAGACAACGTGACGTGAAATGATCATGGGAACTGCTTGGGAAATAATCTTCCCCCTACGTTCTATATGTAAACCTGGCATTTGTGAAGCGTACTTTTACAATGCTCTCGCATCATGGTATCAACAATCTCTCCTTTCCAAGCCCAATACCATCAAACCTGCTCATCCCGTTCCCTCGTCCTCCCTCCACCCTTGTCCCCTCCAACCACACCTCCCTCCTCCAACCCAGTCCTCGTCTCAGTATGCATCTCACTCAACTCAACCTGCCTTATAAAAAACGTAGCAACAAACCCAACACCAGACATGACACAAAAGAAGATCCAAATCTTGCTCAACCCATCCGTCACCGCAAGCCTCACAACCCCCCTCTGCCCCTCACTCAACCCCTCCATAACCCCATGCGCCGCCGCCGCAATCGTCCCTCCCCTCCCAAACTTGGCAGCAACCTCAGCCGGCACCCCCGCCGCCAACAACCGGCCCTCATGCCGTCCAACAACACTCTGGAATATGACCTGCCCGACAACAACACCAATACCCAACGCAATGTGCCTCACAAACGCAAACGTCGCCGTCCCCGTCGCCACATCCGCTTGCCTCACCAGCGCCTGCAACGCAATCAGCAACGCCTGCAGATTAGGCGAGATCCCCAGCGCCGCAAGCACCTGGAAGAGAATCAACCGCGGCCAGTCCCGTCCAGCAGGCAACGTCACAAACAACCCAAACGCAATCGCCGTAAGAGCCATCGACACCCGTACAATTTCAACATATCGCCCCGTCTTCTTGATCGTCACCCCGACGCCAATAGTGCAGACCGCCAGCGGCAGCGCCGTTGCGAGAAGCCATATGCCGGACTCGATCGGGCTCGCACCGAGTACCGCCTGGAAGTAGAGCGGTAAGAAGAATGCAATCGCCGCGAAGCCCAGCCCGTGGCAGAAGTTGGCCACGTAGCAGAAGACGACCGACGCATCGCGGAACAGCGAGGCTGGCATGAGCGGGTACTTTGCGAAGCGCTCCACGAAGGTGAAGACAGCGTAGGCCGCGCAGCCGAAGACGATGAGGCAGATGACGGTGGGTGAGTCCCAGGGATCGCGAAGCCCGCCAAATTGCAGCCCGAGGAGGAGCATCAACGTCGCGCCGGTGAATGTGAGCGTGCCGAGCCAGTCAATGGCCGCCAACCCCCTAAGAAGCGGCGTCTTGGGCGTATGTATACGCAAAAAGAAGACGAGTATGAGCAGCGACGCGCCCGATATGGGCAAGTTAACCCAAAAGCACCACCGCCACGACACGTTCTCCGTCAGCCCGCCGCCGATGAGCGGTCCGATCCCGCTGGCGAGGCCCCATACGGCACCGACGGCGCCGAAATACGCGCCCCTCTCCCGCGGGCTGAAGAGGTCGCCGACGGTGATGTTGACCAGCGCCATGAGCCCGCCGCCCCCGAGCCCTTGGACCGCTCTCCCGGCGACTAGCATCGTCAGCGTCCCTGCGAGTGCTGAGACGAGGCTGCCGACCATGAAGACGACGTTGGCGATGACGAGGATCGGTTTGCGTCCGAAGATGTCGCTGACTTTGCCCCAGAAGGGGACTGAGGCGGCGTTGGCGAGGAGGTAGCTCGCGCCGATCCAGGCGAAACCCGAATCAGAGGACCCAATCTCCCGGGCAATCGTTGGTAGGGCGGTCGTGATGATGACGGCGTCGAGGGCCGCGAGGAAGACGGCCATACAGAGCGCGAGCATCAGAATGACGGTCTGGGCCCTGGTGCGGTCCGGTGCTGTCTTGGTGTCTGCCGTCGTGATGCTCCCTTCCACTTGGTCGTCATCGGCGCTCCTTCGTTTCTCCCGCACTCCTCCTCCTGGTTCACCATCTTGGTCGTCATCGTGTGGACTCCTGTCGTGAGAAGATGTTTCTACTTCACCCGCCATCGTGAACAGCGAGATACCTTGTTTCGTCGGGTACACGACATGCTGCCCTCAGCGAGCACCACTTCCACCGCCCACAACGCGGGACGGGCCTTAATATACATACTTGGATTCCTCAGAACGAAAGACTCGGGCAACACCCACAGGCGCCTTGCGTGTTGTTGATTTGCCCAAAATGTCCCAGTGGCTCTGCGGCACAGCCTTATGGCCCGCGCCGCCGCCGCCATTCACGAGAGCACATGTTCCTCAACATGAATAGGAACCATGGCTTCCCGGCGCGCCGGACTGTTGGCTGCTTCGGTACGACCTACATTGCGCAATGCGAGGGCATCGACGCAAGGGTGGCAGAGTATGAGAGACCGTTGGAGCAGATGTGGCTGCACCGCGCATGCGCGGGAGCCGCACTTCTCATCCCTTGCCTATCCTCATCTTTGCAATTAGAAAAAAAAGTTCCGGATCTTTGGTCCTGGTTGGTGGCTTTACGAGAGCTACCGTGGGGGCCGTTTCCCTCGTGCCTCTTATTCGCCCGAACATCGCCAAGGCCTTCACTTTCCCATAAGAACCACCCCCAAGAATGACGTGCAGCGAACACCAAGACAGTCGGCGCAAGTTAAAGAGGAAAGAGAGCAGAGGGTATCAGGCATGAGATTAGCAGAACCAACAGTCGTATGGCAAAACTGCCCATCCCATGGGTTGGATCTGCAGGGAAAAGAGAGGGAGAGACACCAAAACCCCTGCCGCGTCGGGCCGGGCTTACGCCTCTTCGTTTTCGTGGGCTGAAGCCGAGCGAATGAGAAAATTCCATCGTCAGCTTCGCATCAGCTTCCAATGCTACTTTGGGTGCTCAGAGGATGAGAGTGTGGGTTCCAAATCAAAGGAGAACAATTCTCGCCCGCCCAGCCCATTCACTCACAGTTTTTCCAGCGCAACGTTGAACGAGGCAGGGGAAAGCGCCCAATCCGATCGCGTAACCAGACACGGCGTGAGCACTATATAGGCAAAATGCCAAGAACGGCGCGAAGCGCGAAGCGGGAATAAGAAGGGGAGCCCGAAGGCCAAGAGGCTTGCTAGATAGAGATAGAGCACCTTTCCCCGGCTCTCCATACGTATAGGCTGACAACTGCGTTTCTGATAGGCACGATTATGCGGATTGCCGACTTCAAAAGTTCAGACCGACGAGAAGTGACGAGTGCGAGTGTCTTTCGAACCTTCGTTGCAGGCGACGAACTTCGCCTTGCGTAACGATCATTGCAGGATGCAGATGCAGTTCGTCGCCATCATCGTTCGGGAAACCTGTGATCCGGGGAGCGTATGGCATGCGGTCAAGGCTGTGGCGGGCGGAAAACTCGTCTATTTTGTCTCCTTCGAGTGTGCCTCCCTGAGAGCTGTTCCTCTGTTGAGCGTCCACGGTTCAATCTACGTGAATCTCGTATTCATGTCCCATCCTCGCCTGTTGCGACATCCTAAACGTTGACACGCGCCATGCGGTGACTCGTAATGTTCGGTCGTGTGGGTTACACACGTTGTCAACCCGCGTGCGAGCCTCGTGGGACTCCCTGTCCTACCCGTGCCTACCCGTATGAGAATTTGACGGAACGAGCCGTGAGTGGTTACTTGCATCGACGGCCTCGGGGACCGGGTGAGAGGGAAATGAGACTCAATTCTGTACTATGAACGAAAGGCCAGACATCAACATTCCCTCCATCCTGCAACATCGGAGCCCGAAAGCTCGAATCTGAGGGAAAGCAAGCACTATATATCGTAAATCAAATTCGAATTCGCAAGCGCGCCCACAAGGTAGGACTGGCGATAGCGCAGAAGCATTGTCGTCGTCGCTACCTCGGTTCAACACGCAGTCCCGGCGATGGCGTAGCAGCACTTTCGCGGTCGAGTGGCGAATATCTCGAACGACGACGTATCTAAACACGTATGGGGTATCATCAAAATGCAAAAAAACGTAAACGGAAAAAACTCCCTCCACCACAAAATTGTTGCGTTTGTTTCCAAACCCTCAAACTTCCTCTTCCTCCTCCTTTTTTTTTTTTTTTTTTTTTTTTTTTGGTGTCCCATGAGACGGACCATATCGCGATAGCGCAGTAGCATTGTCGCCAGTCGTCGTCTCTAGTCCCGTACGCCATTTCCCAGCGATGGCGTAAAAGCACTGTCGCCGTCGAGGAATCCAGCCTCATTTTCCGCCGCTCTTCGCCTGTAGCGCGGTGAACCAAGACCTTCCCCCGGATGAAAAGCATATGTAAACTTCGTATGGGCGTTGTATCGTAAATGGTCGAGTGTGAAAGATGTATTAAAACGAAATGCGTGCAATTAGCACAAGAAGATAACAGCAGGTTGAGCTGCCTCGCAGACGGGGCGTTGTGTAAGTTGTCGGATGGGAGCCACAGGCGGTTGTTGAAGCTTCCGGAGCAGAGTATGTTCCGGGTGGTTGTCGGCTCAACGCCCCAAGATGGAGACCCATTCAGGCCTCCTGGTTTTGGTTGGAACGGGGAAACAACTTTCCAAAGCCTCGCTGCCGGGCCTCGCGTCTTGCAGCGCCGTCCTCAATCTCACTAGACGAGTCGAGGTTCGAAATCTTGTTCACCGGCTTGTTGCCGAAGACCTTGAGCAGGAAGAACATGGCGAAGCTGCTAACGATGCTCACGCAAAGGATGCCGATCATTGCGTAGTTACTGCGACGGTACTGATACCGACCCTTGGCGGCATCCTCTGGCCATCCAGTGTACAGAGCGTAGGTCGT